ACTCAGAATCACCTAAACATTCAGCTCCAGCATCCAAAGTACAATAAACTCCAGAATAAGAATGCCATTAAATATCAGTTATCAATCAAATATCAAAAATATCTAATCTAAACATTTGTCTAATGTCGATACCGATATGATTCCGATATCATCATGCATCCCTAGAGAAATTACATTTTGGTGGTTAAACAGACAGGACATCTTTGATGATGTTTGCTGCCTAAATTTTACACCCGAACTACAAGGCTAACATAGCTAATGAGGAACTGGAAGCTTATATCTCACCAATTAGCATAATGCAAGCTACACAGTTGCCTCGAAACCATGTTCTACCCTAAATAGACTTACTTATGTGGTATCTGACACAATTAATTGCTATTATTTATAAACACTACATAAAATTCAGGTGTCAAGACAGCTGGTGCTACTGTTTTTATCTATGCAGAGTACTTTTGTATGATCATTGTGTAAATTTGCTTTTTTGACAAAGTCAAAAGGGGAGTAACATGATATTGCATGATATTGTGCATTCTGTTCATTCTGATATCTACATCAGCACCAATCAACAACCATAAGCTGTGCAACAACATGGATACAGTCATCATTTTTCATTATTCGAATCATGTTCAAAATAACATGGTAATATCAAACCGTGAACCCAGTATCAAGAACCATACTGAATTGTGGGCTTTGTCTCCCTACCCCCCCTACAAACTATCACTTTAACCAAACAAGTTCAAGAGAGTCAGACAGACGGAGCCCCTGTGCCAGCTCATTTAGACTGGCAGACAGTCTGAGGTGAGTAGATGCAGCCTTCTGTGTCTGTTCTCAGGTCAGCTGGTGTCGTTTACCTCCCCGCTGCGCCCTCAGGCGTTCTGTCTCTTACAGCACCGCCGCCCCCCAGCCGAGGGTCAAAGCCACCGCTCCGCTCTTCACACAGATCCTGCAATTATTCCGCCTTCTCAAAGCGGGGGCCCAAAGAGACAGGCAACGGCGAGAGGAAAACAGTCCCCCACATCTCCTCCCCCAACACACACACACACACACACACACACACACACACACACACACACACAGAAAGAGCAAACTCTCCCCTGGTGTTCGTCAGTGCAGCAGCCCCTTCAGGATGTGCTCATTAACTCACCCTGCATTCTCTCTACCTCAACAAATCTCCACAGGCTGGCAAAATAATGATCCTCTGCAAGCCACCACAACCACTGACCATTCCCCACTGTCACTGATCAAACCTTAAAGCAGAACCTTAAATCTTTAAGCAGTCACTAATGTCTACAGTTTAATGTCTACACACTGTTACAGTTGAGTTCTAACACTCTTTGAAGGATTTCTCTCTGTTTGAGAAAGCATGTTAATTAAATCCGAGAGCTTTGATTGCTTTTGGGACCATCTTGGTTAGTTATAGTCTCTCTATATTGTTTGATCAGGCAATAGTTTGGCAAAAAATCTAATTTACACCATTTTTCCCAGCTCCAAACGTAGTCAACCCGCAAAATTTGGATCTTTGTTGTCTGAAGTTTGCTTCTTTGGTTTTACACTGAAGCTATGAGGCTCATGTAGCAAACAAGCAAGCCTAAATCATCACTTCAAACCACTTCAAGTCATCTCAAATAGACTTGCCTATGACACCGTAAAATGCACTGTTTTCAATAAGAAGTGGAGAAAATTGTATGTCACTTGGCTAAAAAACAGAAGTAGCAGTTATGTTAGAGTCTGACAATTGTCCACACTTTCATCCATGTTTGATTTTTTGCCAAGCAGAACTCACTTGTATGAAAGCACTTCATTAGCTGATGTTAGCTCAGCTTAAGAAGTCTCTATGCCATCTCGTTAGGCTCGCTCTTCTTGAGGAGACGGCAAGGCTGCACAGCAACTCTCCAAAGCTTTCCATCAAATCTTGCAGAAACATAATCCCATGCGTGGATTACGTGGTCACTGGCCTTGTCCGTAAGGAACAGGAACATCCTGTTACGAAACTTAAGCTTCTCCAGCATGTTTTGGCCTGAACCAAACTCATGAAAAGTCACCGTCTTATGAAATATCCTCTCTCAGCAGAGTGCTTCTGTTTTTGCTGGTCTGGACTTTTTCTGCTAGTCTGAAATTTTTAGGTGATGAAATCCTTAACCTGACATTGACCACAGGGTTCTTCAAGGCAAGGATCATTCCAGTTATCTCATTTACACAAAGCTAAGGTGCACACATTTGAGCAGCCAGCCCTGCATGACTTACGACTACTTTTACATCTAATGTGGTCTATTTGAATATCTGGTAGAGACTGGTTGAGTAAGCCGCTATGCCATAGAAAACATCTTCAGTTCCCCAGTGCACCTTCCAATTGAGTGGTTTCAGTGGGGAATTTTAAAGAACGATTCACTAAAAGGACCTTTAGAGACCCAAATGTGATTCTTCTAAGAGCAGTACTCCAAAAATCCCTTTGAAATCTTATCAGATTTGTGCATATTAGAGCAGTTCAATGTCACATTCAACTTGAAGTGCAGTCATCTCTCAATAAGAGCCTTTTTTGGTGGAATGGGGGGACTTTTAAGGAGGAACAGGCAGCCACCGAGGGAACTGGACCATCTTTATATTAGATGTTTAGTTATATTGCTGTTAAAACGTTTCATCAATAAATGTTTTAATTAATTTGGCTGCACATAAGAATTTAGCAAAAAAATGACTACAACATCTAAATAACATTGACTAAAACATCTACAAACATTGCTTAGAGTCTAGGCTATTATATGTACATCTATATTTGATGAGTTATTATTGTATATAACAAAACAAAGGCAACATGTTAACATGACAAGTGGTTTAAACTTTTAGACAGTAGTGTTTCTGAGGTAAAAAGACATTCACAAGCTCATCAGCCCTCAGTTCCTCCACTATGGTGAACATCATCTCTTCCCATAACCTGTTGAGTGGCTTAGCTCTCCCTGACAGAGGAAATAAGCTCTGTGCGCTGGGTTTAATAGCCCCGATACTTAAGTCCCTAAACAGATGTCTGCAGGATTGTACTAACACGCCTCATTAGGTCAGCCGCAATAGCCACCAGGATTTGGAGGCATGGAGTGAGTCGCTTTGTTTAAAGGTTCCACACCGCACCTTCCCTCAGGTGCAGAAGGCAGAGGGACGGCTTGAGCGAAAGAAAGAGTAAACAAGCTTGGTGAAGGAGAGAGAGAGAGACCACTCTACTCTCTGGAGCAGTGCATTAGTCACTCATGCTGGTGGGTTTCATCCACACACTGTCCATCTGTTTCACCGTCTCCATACTTTCAAACCACCAGCGCACAGTTGTGAACATACACATTAATAATTGTATTCCTGTCTTTGTGGGATATCTCCTTTCACTTTAACTACATGGCTGCTGTGCTACATTTTAAGCTTAGCACACAAAAACAAATCTTTTGGCTTTTGCTTTTTCTAAAAGCATACTTGAAAGAATATTTTACCAGCCAGCTGGAAACCAGCCAGATCTCTCCACAACACCACAGGTTTTGACATTTACCACATTCAAGGCACACTTGGTCCCCAAAAGCAGCTAAATACAAGCCCACAAACACATATTCTCACATAACAACCAGTAAAGCTGCATTCCAGCAATCCCTCTGGCTGGGTGCCTAATTGTGTAGTCTGAGGCTTTTTCATCTCCTTGCTTCGGCCACTGAATTCAACCAACAAAATCCACATCTTTCACTTCAGCAGCCTACAAATGAGACGCAGACTTCAAGCAGACTTCGCCCAACTGGTTCTCCAGTTAAACAACCTGCCAGACTCGTATGAGGCTCAACTTCAGTGTGACTGCATCACCAAACACTGTGAGCACACAGACAGATGAAAGACGAGACTGTGACAGCTAAAACCACCAGAGGTTCAGACAAACTCCAATAACCAGTGACATTACAGAGACATGTAAATCCACATTACCACACTAGACAGTGTGTTCAACTAGTACAGCACCAGCAGTATATTCATTAGTACAGTATGTGTAAAGAACATACATCATGTTTTTGCAAGCCATGAACTGCACACCTATAGTCTGGTGCCTTAACACAATATATAGGCTTCTGACAGCACAATACATATACATATATATTTCATTTATTTAACACAATATATTAAGTTTAACCCCTTAAAAGAATCATAAAGTCATGCAGTATGTAGTTTGGGACATGGCCACAAACTGCACACTAGGGTTACACTTGTAGTCTGACTGCACAGGTGTCTCAACACAATATATATGAAGTTTAATCCCCCGAAAATGTATAGTATGTGGTTTTGGATGAAGCCAGTAACTGCACACTAAGAATGCGCTTCTAGTCTTTATGCACACCTGCCCCAACACAGAACACCTAAAGTGTAGAGTTTTAAAAACTACATGACGTAGTACTGTACACGGTTTTGGACACAGCCACAAACTGCACACTAGGGTTGCACTTGTAGTCTGACTGCACAGGTGTCTCAACACAATACATATGAAGTTTAATCCCCTAAAAACGTATAGTATGTGGTTTTGGATGAAGGCATAAACTGCACACTAAGACTGCCCTAGTAGTCTTCATGCCCAGGTGACTCTACACGATACACATGCTGTTTAAACCATTTAACAACTTCACATAAAGTGGTACAAGATGTGGTTTTGGTCACAGCTATGAACTGCACACTAGGACTGCACTTCTACTCTTCTAGTCTCACTGCACTGATGCCTTGACATAATACATCTAAAGTTTAAACCCTTAAAAACGTACAGTATGTGGTTTTGGACGCAGCCACAGTGCACTACTACTGCAGTTACAGTCTGGTGCCTCAACTGAACACATAAGAAGTTTAGACCTTTAAAAAAAAACTTCACATAAAGTTACACAGAAGCTGAGTCAGTTCACTCTACTTAAAGCGTCCTGGAGCAGCAGCAGCACAAACCGGGACAGTGTTGCAATGTGGCTGCGTCCCAGAACGGGACAAAACCTGAAATGCGCTGCACTCACCTTGTACACGTTTCTCCGTTATACGGTGCACCTCGTCGGCTCGAGACATGTTGGTGGCTTCGGTCAGAACCATGGACAGGAGTTTGAGAGACAGGAGGGATCACAACGCGAACGCTGAGAGAGAGAGAGCTTGAGACAGAAGAGAGAGAGAGAGCTGCTGCTGCTGCTGCTGTGAGGCGGCGGACAGTGAGAGAGAGGAGAAGCAGCGCTGCGCCTTTTATACGGGAATCTCTCACTCACACACGCGCGCACACGCGCACACACTGCAGCCACGCGGGCCCACGCACTGCCGCCCGCGCGCGCTAGCTGCGGAGTGAGTGAGGGAGACGGAATCCTCCTCTCTCTCTCTATTTCGCACAAAACTCCGCCCACTACCGGAGGCGTGGCTTACGGAGCCATTCATGCGGTCGCCTCTTCGCTCACAGAGCTGTAGATGAGCTCCGCATAAGAACATTAAAGAGAAATAAAGGGAGCTCGAGCTCTGGACTGCAGCTTTAAATGGCTTTTCACATGAATTCTTTCGTAACAGAAGAGCGTTTTCACCCAGGCGACGGACAGCAAACCAGCACTGTTCATATACTGCACTGTATACCTTATATAATACATATGTTATTCATTTCAGACGCCTATCCAACAAACAGATGGTCATAAGTGTTCAGGGCTCTATATAGAACCATTCCCTTCTTAAATGGTTCTTTGCATGGTGAAACGGTTCTTCAGATGGATAGAGAATCTGTATATGGTTCTATATAGCATCAAAAAGGGTTCTGGTACTGTTTCAAGCTTTACATCGTAACAATAGAAAAGCCTGTTTGGTGCTATATAGAACCATATACAACACATTCTCCATCATGAAGAACATTTTCACTATGCCAAGAACCATTTAAGGATGAAATGGCTCTATATAGAAATCAAGGCTCTGAATAGAACCATTCCCTGTTACTTAAGAACCATTGAAGAACCATCTTTTTTAAAATGAGCGTAAATGAGCCACACGCTGTAGCTGTTCACCTGTGCGTAGGTTTACACTACATGTCCAAAAGTCTCCGGACACCCCTTTCAATGGCTTACACAGGTGTTCAATTACGCACATTTTGTATAATGTCCATAGAAAAAGCATTGCCGCTAGAATGGTCACCATGCACAACGCCAAGCGTCGGTTAGAGGGGTATAAAGCCCACTAGCATTGGGCTTTGGAGCAGTGGAACTGCGTTATCTAGAGTGATGAAGCTCTATCCAATATTTTTGACATGAATTGGAGAAGATCCAGAACTGATCGTCGAACATCAGTACTTGACTTCACTGATGCTTAATCAAATCCTCACAGCATGTTCTAACATCTAGTATAAGCCTTCTCAGAAGAGTAGAGGCTGTTACTGCAGCAAAGAGGGACAAACTCCCTACCGATACCCTTCAGAAGAATCGCTGGATGAAGCGGTGTCTACAAACTTTTGGCCATTTAAGTGTACGTATGTTCCGTGTGAGGGCTGTGGTGCCACGCAGCGGAGGAGCTACTGCGCGTGACGTAGGCGGGGATCCATGCAGGCGTGTGTATCACGACCCATTCAGCCCACCCACATACACCATGTACCACCGTTCCCTGATTCAAAGGCAGGATCAACCTTTTTAAACAGTGTCCGCTACTTTACACAGAAAGGTCAAGAACACGGAGTTCTGCAATGACCAATTTCTCTTCATCCTCGCTTTCGTTAAACAAGCAGCTGTGCGCACACGCGCGCACGCACGTGCTCAGGTCCTGAGCGGCGCTAGCCACTCCAATCTTAAAGCCACATCCATTGATTTCCCTTCACTGTGGATGTCTTATCTATCTGCTCTGTTAACACAAAAGGCTGAGGGTAAATAACTAAGCAGCAAAGCGGAGAGAGATCAATGGGCAGACCCGAAGGATGTTCAGCATCATTACAGAGCAGTTCAATCTGATTAACTCTGAAACAATGTTGAATGTGAACTGCTATGTGAAACGCCCAATGATGAGACCCCCAAAACCCCGAAGAGGGTACTAGCACTATCAGAGCAAGAGTAAATAGATCTAGAATCAGGTTTCATATTCATTATGTTCCTTATGATATAAAAGGTAAACATGGATTAGGAGCCTTTCTCTTAGTTTAACTTCAAAGAGTTTCTACTGGAAAAGTTCTACTTGACTATCTGACTGGTCTCAGTAACCTCCTACACCACTCTTAAATAGGTGCCACAAAAGGGTCTTTGAGAAATGCCATAACAGAACCACTTTGGTTCCCTAAAGAACCATGTTTGAAAAAGAGATTTGTGAGTGTGAAGAATCTTTCAAAGATTTAAAGAACCTTCACCGAATGTAAAGGTTCTAAACCAACTTCAGATCACTTGTATCTCTATTTTCATTTTTTATGTTTGTGCATAATCTGAAAACTCAAATTACCTTTTTCACTGTGTTAATATTTCACAACAAACAGACCCACAGAAATGGTCCAAAATTACATGGACAAGTTCTGTAAAGTTACCATTCTGGGAACACAAGGTTTCTTCTGACAGCAACTATATGTCAATCCTTTACACTTTAGGCATATTATTGAGTTATTAATCTCAAGACTCATTTTTTTAGTAACGTCTATGAAACTAGTATGCAAGTTTTTTACTTTTAAGAGTGAGGAGTTGAAGTGTGGGCCAATACAGAGCCTCCAGAGTTCAAGATATTGATTAAGCCTAGTCTTGGAATAAAGTGCAATGTCAATGATGATTCACCTCTGCAATTTAGTCCAAGACTAGGCTTAATCTATGTTTGTGGAAACCAGCCTATAGTCATGGACAGAGATTAAGCTAAATTGTAATGTCAATGATGATTTACCTTTAAAAAGCCTTTTTAGTCTCAGATCAAGCTTAATCTGGGTCCAGAAAACCAGCCCTCTGTGATACTTTAAAACAGCCAGTATATTCAGATTGAACAGAAAGATGTGTTCAACTACACAGTCTGGGACACAGATGTTATGTTGTGGTTGGACATAAAATATGCTTAAAAAAAAGTTAATATAATTTTTCTTCACAATACATTATACATATCATGTGTTTAGTCAGGATGCACATTTGTTCATCACCCTTCATTTACTTCATTTGTAGTAAAAAATAAAAAAAAATAAAAATGGTGTAGTTCAAGTTATTACTGAGATTAGATACAAGATAATCCACTTGCATAAGGAATTGGAAAGTCAAAGGAAAATAAGTGAAATAACAGACATTCCAAAAATGATGAAAAGATATAGACAAACTGGGACTTTCAACAACTGTGCAAGACCTGGTGGACCACCAAAACTGTCATTATCATCAGATAAACAGCACTTAAAGCTTTCATCTTTGAGAGAGAGGAGAAAATCAAGCTGCTTCAGATCTGAAAAAATCCACTGGTGTTTCTGCTCATCCTTCCACTCCGAGAAGACAAGTCAACACTGCGGGTCTATTAAGAAGCTGTTGCTGAGAAAAGAAGAAAATGTGTAAATCAAGCAAAGACACTGCTGTTGTTCTCAGAACAACAGACTGACCACCCCAGAGTCCAGACCTCAACATCACTGGCTGTGTTTGGGATTGCCTGGATCATGAGAAACATAAAATACAACAAACTTCCAAGACTGAACTTTGGAGGTGTGGAAAAATATCCCTGCAGATTTTGAAAGCAAGTCTCCTGAAAAGAGTGGAAGCTGTAATAAATGTAGACTGGACACGCTAAACACTGACAAGTGATATTTAGTTGTTGAGGCTTCTGTGTAATTTTCTAAAATAAGTGTTTTGTTTTTTTCCTGATGCCAGAATAACTTGTACTTGATGTCTATTTTGACTGGAAATTAAATAAATGAAGGATGTTCTCTGACCTTTGTACATTACTACACACAATATACTCAGAAAAGCTTACTGTGGCATAATTCATCATGAACGCAATATCATATTGTCATATCACTTATACCCTAGTACAAGGTTAACCCAGTTTGCTTAATCTCAGATGACTTTGTGGAGAGGATTACTCACTGCCCTTGGGTCGAAATTTGGGCACGAGAATGAATACAGAGGAAAAAATGGCACTCAGTTGGTTACTGGGATACAATTTTATACATTAGCTTCAAATTTTGGAAACGTCTCTGCCCTGAAGATGGCACTTATTTCAGGTTAATATATTTAGCCTACAGGTTAAAACAATTCCAGTCTGGTGGGAGTTACTGACAGGCATCACCGGAGGTCACCCTGAATGTAACTTTCCCCTCAGGTGGCTTTGTATTTTTCTTTTTAAAAGGACACTGAATGGACGTTTAGGAACCGTACTAGATTCACCGTCAAAAATGCCAGCCTCTCATATCTTTAGGTCAGTCCTCCCACCATTATTTCTCGAAAGCACACCCCTGCTCTTCAGTCCTCTCGGCTCATTGTCTACAAAAGTAACAGTGTGAAACTCTGATTCATAGCGAGCCACAGAGGAGCCATTCAAGGCCTCCCACTCCTACACATATACCACACACCACTTACCTGCCTCCACACCGGCAGCGGACCACCAAATGAGTAGGTAGGCTAATTCATATCCTGGCCTATTCAAAAAGAGGGTGCTCTAAAGTCAATGCCTCAGCCAAAAATAACCCACAGGAGAATAATAATAATGAGAAAATAACATTGTGGAAAGTAAATAAAAGAAACAGAAAACACTGACCCAACCACCACCTCCCCAAAGTGCAAGAGTCAAGTGGTGTGGCTCTTCATCAAAAATACATCCGTAAAAAGCCCCTCTCTTATGAGGGAAAAGTTTCCAAAGTACCAAAGCTTCACCTGTGCTGCTCTGCCCTCTAGTGGTCGATATCAAACCACAGCTTTCGATGCAACACACAAACATGATTCAAAATGATTAAAAAATAATTTTATTGTCGCAAAATAACAAAATGAAAAAGAATCGTGAGCAGACCTTAAGACTATAATGAAATGCCAGACTGCTCTGAGAACAGTAGAGCTTAGTCTAACGTGAGCCAGAGACAAGTCTTGCATTATTTACTGACTTGCCTGAGCTTGGACGGGTCAGGGCTCATGATATGATTACAGTTTTGTAAAAATGCATAGAATGAGCCAAGAAAAATGGCTCAAACAAACCACAGACATAAAAAATGACAGCCTGACAACTTTTCTGTCTACTTTGTTGTGTATGATTATCAGTACAACAAATTAAGAGCTGATGTTTTGTGGAGAAGCGAGAGGGAGCTAATTCTCAACAGGATTAAAGCCTCCTTTCCATCCCACTGACACAATCCTCCTAATGCAGAGGGGCATGTTTTCAAAACACCCTTGCAGATAGGTTATGCAGATGAGGGTTTGCACATGGCCAGTATTAGCCTACGTAGGATTATGTTTCTGACAGAAATGCCTGACCTGCATTTGTCCCCAAGCCTTTTTTAAGTAAAGTGGGGTTGCACTGATCCATCTCAGTGAGTTACATTACACAATTATCAGATTTGTTCTTGATTTATTTTGAAATATATATGGGGGGATAATTATGTATCTTAGTTTCTAAGAAGTATTATGATGTAGTTAAGTCATGAAAGGACCTGGAGAATAAGATTAGAGTGATGCCTGCCTAAGAGAGTTAAGGGTTAATAAAACAATTAAATATTTAGTTAATAGGGCACAATATTAAGCAGAAAACCCCTCAAACCATTCAGATTCTTCATTAAACCAGCTGTTTTTGTACTACACTCATGAAAGAGAATCTATGTTGGGCCACAGATGAACATATACCGGGGATTAATGTGGAGTTGTTTTTTTGTTGAATGCACCTAAAAAAAAAGATGCTTCCTTCAGGTGTGGCTCTGAATCCTGTGTGGTCTTCAGCAGTATGGAACTGCTCAAGTGAAGCCAGGAACATAAAAGTCCACCACATGGATAAGAGTCTACAAGGCCAAGAGCTCTCTCTCCGGCTTCTTCTTCACCTTTTCTTTTTCCCGCTCTGAAACTAAATTATTTCAAATGTTACTTTACAATTCAGCACAATTTTACAACATTAAAGCTGCTACAGACAAGGTGTACAGTACCAAATGTTTAAAAATTGAGGTGTAAAACAGGCTCTTTGGAGTAATTTCATAGAACCACTTTTGTTTATTTTTTTATTTTTATTATAGTTTTTAAAAATTTACAGATCTTTACATAACCATTTTTTGTAAATGAAATGTGCAAGTGTGATCCAATTAAAGTTTTTTACTAAAACAATACAAAGGAACCAAAATTTGGGAACTTTTATGTTCATGACTGTAGAGAACCTTTATTTTAAGGGGAAGCTCTTTAACTGATTCTTTACACTCACTAAATCTCATTTATAAAAATGGTAGAGAACCATCCACTGAAAGGTTCTATAGCACTGCTTCAAAGAACCCCTTCAGGCAAAAAACATGGCAGTACTTTCATTTATGCTCCCAGCCGAAAGCACATAACCTACCAATCTACTACATCATAAAGTTGGACCTAATGACTGGATTAAGGTTCACCATAGAAAACCAATCACAGTTAGAAAAGAAGCGCAGATACAAAAGCCCACCCCCAAATTATCACTGACCAAAAATTAGTCAGCAATTCATTTACTGTTACTGTACAGGTACATTTTTCTTTATCAAGGCACAAACAATGTTCATGTACCCTCAAAGATACATGAATGGTCTTTAAATGGTCTTTCCCAAGAGAATGGTGCACGTTTGTAAAACCTACAGTTTTACATTAGAAAAAAAAAGCATGGAGTTGACAGGTTGTATGAAGCCAAGGTTTCGCACAGGTCTGAAACAAACCTCAGGTGTCGGACACTTGAGTGGCTGTCGATATACTTTGAGGAGATGTCAATATAAACAGAAGTATAGTCCATGTGTGGGTAACACTGATGGAGTCAATGCAACTTGCAAAATAAAACTTTAACCAGATGTAGTACAACTATGTTCTGTAACTAAACATACTGAACAAGTACTCTTGAGGGTGCCATTCCAGTATAAGCAGTGAAATGTATTGAAGAAAGGGTGTCAAGGTCTGCGTTGCATACGTTACAGAGAGTGAATACACACCTGGCTCCTCCAGTTCTGGAACTTCTGGAAGCTGCTCATCAGGCACCTCAGGAAGCTCCACATCAACATCTCCCTGAAAACAGTCAGAGTTGCAGAAATGTTAATCAGACATTTCTTTTTCAAAAAGCAGGCTGACAGCCCTTTCATACTCTATTTCTCATGCACACACATACCTGAGTGATGGCCTCAAGCTCAGCTAACACAGCGTCTTCATCCTCTTGAGTCAGAGAGCCTGCCAGAATGTCATCAATTTGCTGCACACAGGGACAAATCCAGCAGTTAGTTTAGTTTAAACATGCTCACTAAGTGTTGTTGTGTGCAGATAATGTTTGGCTCAGGTTCAAACAGTTAGTGTCTCCATTTGTGTTTTGCAGTTAGTTCTGGTGATTTTGATAGCTCAGGTAAGAAAAATTCCTCTAATTCTTGTCAGGCCTGGATTTACTGACCTGCAAAGACCATGTAAGCAAACCTGTTTAACACAAGAACGCTGGTCAGGTATATGACTGGGGAAAGTGGAACTCACCTTCTGATACTCAATAGCATCATTGGTCTCATCCATGATTCTCTCCACCTCTTCTATGGACAAAACCTGTAAGAAGGAAAAGAGGGGATGTGAGGGGTGAACAGGTGAGATATGATTCATTCATCAAACTGCCCCTATACGGTTTAGGCTAATAAGTACACCTTAATGATTATTAATTATTACTAATACTAATTCACATAATTGTTCTAAGGTTCATGTAGTAAAGATATAAACATCTTTAAAAGACATAAAGTTCCTACTGTCAGAGGAAAACTGATGAAAAATGGGAAATCAAAGTGTTCAGCAGTATATTTTGAATAGATAATGTATATTACATGGTAATAACACATGTACATTTACATTTACAAATGTAAACAGAATGTTGTCTGATAAAACCTGTGTACAACATTTAAAAGACAACAAACAGCAGCATTTCTATGCTTGAAAATATGTGGGGCAGCCAGTATATGAGTAAACAATGCCAAGGCAGCTGAGCATAAAGATAAGAACACATGACCCAAAACATACCTCATGCATTTTCTTTAAGCAGTCATTGCCAACCTTGAGTCCTTCAATGACCTTCATCTCTATCTGTGCAAACTCGATGTCTTGAACCTGGAAAAAAGAAAAATGGACGGTTGCCATACAATCATCTATATTACACAACAACACATGACCATGTAATTTCAGGATCCCAAAAGCTGCTAAATCAGATAATCAGAAAAGTGAATAAATCATTATTTTACAATTTAATGTGTAGTGTTGTACTCATAAGTCTTAACTACTATATTAACAGATCAAATGAGAACAATCTGGATGCAGACTTTGTTTCCTCACATAGCTTAACTAATCAAATTAATCTGTGTGTAAATAGATCAAATTTTTGATTGCCACATGACTAAAAAATAGCATTAAAGCCATCTACTCAGCAAAACAGCTCACCACAAGACAGAAACTGGGGTATCTTGCTTGGTGTACAGTCATGCATCATTTTAGCTACACCGGTCTCCTCATTTGAATCTTGGGAGGTTACTGGAAGCAAATATGTATATCACAATGCATACTAAATTAACATGTGTATTTACCATGCGCTCCAGGTTGCTGATCTGGTTCTCTGTCTTGTCTAGAAGTTGTTCCTGGAAGCGCTTCTTCTTAAGCAACAGGAGTGCTTTCCTACACAAACACAGCAAAAGAGAGGGCCTTGCCATTTGAGCACACAAATCTGGAATTCTTTCTTTTTCAGGATGCACAAGAGACAGCTTGACAGACCTAGGCTTTTAACTACTGCATCAAGCATGTATTAGATTTCATAGCAGAACCATCCACAACACAGAGAGGGCCACTGTGATACCAAGACCAATGTTATTGCATTTTATTCCAATTTCAAAGCTTTACCAGAGATGATAAAAACACTGGAAGTAATTAGATTATGGATTTTTTCACATCACAGTGATACCGCTGACTGAAACACTGACAGAAGAAGACAGGAATACAGCTACTAAGGCCGTCATGATCACACGATTAAATAAATTCTTTTTGAAAAACTGATTAAAATTCATCTTTTTAATGGACTGGCAATTATCAGTTGGCAGTCTGCATGATGAAAATGCATATACGATATAGGTCCCTCTTCATGTGAGAAACTGAGCCTGGAGGACACGCCCATTTCTACACATTTTTATACACATTATGCACATACTGTTTTTAATCTTTTTTAAAAGCTTTTTCTCTAATAAAGCATTCTGTAATCTTTAAAAAGCAATGCATGGCTCGTTGTAGTTCAGTTAAGCTCATTTTTAAATGGCAACATAATCTGTAGATTCCTTCATTACTAATATGATCGACAATACTAATACAATGACAACCAAACACGCATCAAATGTGTCCCTCAACAGTTGGGATGGCTGCTGAAGCAACCCTCCAGGGAAAAATAAAAGAAATAAAAGATTAAACAAGAACAAATGAAAGACACATAACCAGACACCTATTACAGAGTGACCTATATGAAACTTGACAAGCAGAAACCTAGATAAGAGAAAGGGCAGGGGTGGGGAGCAGACTCACTCTTTCTTGCCATCCTTCAGCAACTGTTTGGCCAGCTGCCTCTCCTTTTCCATCTGCAGAGTGACCTTCTTCTGGTACTGCTTCAGTTTATCTCTCTGCTGCTTGAGTTGCTGTGGTCAAAATAAATAACAGGGCTTCAATATACAGGTTTACAGTATCGTTTCCTTGCCATACTCACCATGAGATAGTAAGCATTAGTTACACAACCTCCACCTGCAGTGGACTGTGAAAACATCCGATATGAGAAATGAAGAACAGAACCTTCCCTGTATTCAGAAATAATACCATGAAAGTGGCATGAACAAAAGTTAACAATCTCTTCAGAATTTAAATGAATAAACATTACTTTTTACAAGCTTATTGCCAATCTTACACTTTGTAAACACTCAAACTGAGATGAAGTCTGCTTTGCTAGGTTAGCCATGGCTAACGTTCAATAAAATACAAAAGCAAAAGACAATAATAAACTGGTAAAATCATTTCCTGACAAAAAAGTACATAAAAAGATAAAGATGACATTTCAAATAACTAAATGAAGACTAAACCCTCTGAATGACTAACGTTAGCCAACCAGCTACAATTCTGTAATCAAATCAACACCACTCCCAGATTAGCAAGCTAACGTTAGGCTAGCCTTGCTAACTAACTTCCGAGCGCGACGAGGCTGAAGTTGGCTTCCTATTCTCCGGGTTCTTGTTCGGATTTTCCCGTTCCACCTTAAAATAGATATTAAACAGCACGAGTTACATGGGTACTGTCATTTCTACGTACTTTGTTAGACGTAAGTCCGGCACCATTTAAGGTGGAACGGGAAAGCGCGAACAAGAAGCTGGAGAATAGGAAGCCGACGACAGTTTAAACAAAACGGACCTTCAGAAAATAGACACAGCTCTACAACACAGTACACACAATTTTCACACACACAGCTACGTTAACTTCAATCAGGGAAACCACATGGAACCTCTACTGCTACAATATTTAGCCAGGTAGCTGCGCTGTCATCACTGTATTAGCCGTTAGCGTTAGCACTGACCAAAACAGCTCTGTCCTGTTCTGTGACTCGACTTCGTTTCTTTTTGCCGAAGATATTTCCCATTTCGATGCCGCATCCCGCACTACCTGTTTAGATAAAGGAGACTAATTCAACAGATCAGGTGTCAAAAACCCATTTCTGTCTTTTCATGTCTGAGTGTGTAAAAATATAAGTCAAATCTCAGCCCCGTCGACGCGAAGCCGGCAGCTTCGAAATGAACTTAAGCCAGTTTCACTTTCAAATGCAAAGTCTCACGTAGGAGGACTTTTATTTGTTATCTGCGTGTCAACATTTTGACTTAGTGTCTCGAAATAATGGCTTATTTTCTAAAAGTAATGATTATTTTCTTGAAATATTGACTTACTGTGTGAATATAGTGAATATAGATCTCGAAATAGTTACTTACTTTCTTCAGTACCCATTGTTTTGATATCAAAAGTCAAATAACAGTTGAATATTTTGAAAACAAAAAACATTATTTCAAAATACTAAGTCAGCACTTCGATAAAAAATCATTTATGTCGAGATATAAAAATTTTGGCATTCTGGTGCTAAAAACAGAGAAGGAAACCTTTTTCTCCTCTGCTTGGCCTCTGTAATGGTCAGATTTGCATGCTGAAAGAAACACTTGAAATCAGGTGGCTTATGCCCATATAGGCCAAAAGATGAACAATAAAACATACTTTTAATTAATAGCTTAAACCATTCATTTTCAACAACTGAAAACAGTATGATAAGCAAAAAATATCACATTATATTACATGTGATTTTCATACTTTTATTGACTTTTTTTATTCATTTATTAAATTCGGACTGGATACAGTTTGGTTAGAAATCAGTAGTACATCTGACCAAAAAACTGATTTTAATATGTTAAATGAAATGAGCTACTGAATATGATAATGTCAAGCGAGTTGATACAGCCTTAACTCAGTCTTTATACGATGGGAATAAACTCACCAGAAATCTAAAAACTTTAGTCCTAAAGTATCTCTGTATATTTAACGTATAGACATATTATATTTACTTATTTACATCATATGTGAATTTGTATAGCAATATGACCATCAATATAAACATATATATATATATATATATATATATATATATATATATATATATATATATATATACACATATACAATATAAAGGGTAAACACTATATTCTTATGTCATACGACATAAGTAATGTTGTCTAAATATATGTTTCTTATATCACTACTTATGCAGCTGTACACCCATGGCTCATTGGTGGCTATAATAACTTATATAATATAAATTAATGATAGTACACTTCAATCACTAGCCTACATTACACCACCAAACTGGTTAAGACACAGCAGTGAGAAAAACATGTAATTTGACCAGGGGGTGTCCAAACTTTTGCATACTACTGTATCTTAGCTTGATTCAAGACATAATGCAGATTGTGTGTGTGTGTGTGTGTGTGTGTGTGGTGTGTGTGTGTGTGTGTTTGAGTGTATCTACCACTTGCTCTGTGTTTCAGAAGGGGCTTTAGGGGCGTGGTATGCAAAGCTGTGTCACGCGCACTGCCCAACCGCCCCAGCCCCCCTCAAAAGGACATCTGTTTTTGTTGTTGTTTATGTTGTCACTGTTGCTTTAAGATGTGTTTATGTGTCCACTGTGTTTTACTGTGTTGGGCTGTAGGTTAGTTAGAGTGGCTTTGTGTGTCTAACATAGAAAGACGCTTTCCTTGCCATTCCAGCTGTTTTTCAATGACGCTTTTCTGCTTTGTTCAATAAAAGGGCATTTCTTTGAGCAGAAACATTGGCATCTGATTCTTCTTATGTATGTATATATATGTATGAGATCATATTTAAAGTGATTTCTCACAGAACAACAGAGATAAATGATATTTTGGTCTGACAGCACCACATCCACTACAGCTAGAACCAACATCTATCTCTTGTTATGGTTGAATTTGGCTCTGATTCTTCCACTTAGCATCATGTTGTGGACCCTGAGGAATCCAGCATCACTTTACACCCACATGCCACACACACTTCTCACCAACACACTGTTACTCAGCAGTTTGTATCCAAAGAAACTTTCTCCCTGGATCTATGAGTCGTCCACCCCCCACTGCATCCCCCTTAAAAACACACACACACAGTCTAGCAGGCTGCATCAGAAATAACCACTTTATAAATAGACCATCAACTATCCAAGGGGAGGATTTTTTATAGGGCAGCAGAGCACAGAGCAGACAGCAAAGAGAAGAGGACTTAGATTAGTAGACAGTTGAAGGCACTGATCGTCCACACAAGACAACATGTCATCTGACCAGCCGTCTTTACCTTCAGGTGACTCCGTGTGTCCGGGGTGTCAGGCCGAGGGGTCACTTCTGCTCCCCTGTGGCCACAGTTTATGCCAGTCTTGCATACAGCTCTGCCAGCTTGAGTTAGGCCAGGATCAGCAAAGATGCACTGAGTGTTATGGACGAGAGCTGCTGGACAGTGTTTTAAAAGGCCTGTTAGACTCTCTCTTCCAAGGCCAGCCTCGGAGGGTCGGCTCAGGGGCTGATCTAGGTCTAGGGGACAGCGAGGACAGCAAGGACGGGGCTGCGGACGGCAAGATGTGTGCCAAGCACAACGAGAGACTGACTCTGTTCTGTGAGGAGGACGAAGAGCTGATCTGCAGTCAGTGCCAGGACGAAGAGCACAAGGATCACAAGTGTAACAACACAGAGGAGGCAGCTCAGGAGTGCAAGGTGATGTTTTTTATCTAAATCTCTGCATAATTCAGTTTTCTGAGATGTAAACAAAGCCATTCAGAGTTGTTTGATGTGAAATGGTTCATTGCAGAGAATTCAGATTTCTTTACAGTGGTGGTGATAGGAACCAGGGGTCACATTGTCTACCACACAAACAGGCCCACTGCATTTGCTATCTAAAGCAACTTGTGAATCTACACGTCTTCTGAGTTTTTATATGTAATGGTGCCCCTAACACTAAAATGGAGGTTAAATAAGTCTTCTTTGGGAATTATTTTGCATTTCAATGCCCTGCATGTACCACTCCACCATAAGTTTTGAACATACAGTTTGAGCAAAATCTTATTGCACAGCTGCCATAATACAGTGACTCAGCATCAGGCAAAGTGTTTGTTTCATGCAGAGACATTAAACTCTTCAGACGTCTGGTTCCTATCACCACCACTGTGAACATTGTAAGTTTCTTTAGAATGGAGCATTTCAAATCAAACCATTCTAAATGAGTTTATTTACACCTAATGATTTAATTATGCAGAAATTGGTGGAATTCTGGTTCTAAATCTGATGATATTAATGAAGCAAATACATTGCTAGGCAACTGTTTGTTTATTTGTTAATTGTCAATTTGTTCATTGTATTGCATAAGGCAGGGCTCAGTTTGGGGGGTGGTTAAGGAAATGGCATCCCCTTAAGTCAAAAAATGAAAAAATAGCAAACTCCCCTTTGGATTAATGGTGTTAAACCTAAGTTCTCTACTGTCGCCGGCAAGTGTGAATATTGTGGAATGATTCTCTCTCCAAATTCTTCTCAAAGGAGGAGCTGAGGTCTGCCCTGAGGCCTTTACAGGAGAAGTTGGAAACCCTAAACACAGCCAAGCAAAACTGTCAGGAGACAGCTGAGCACATCAGGGTAATAATCACCCTCAGAGTAATGGGTTTTTAAAAACATATACATACATGTATAGTACATGTATCATGAGAAAATAATAATTATTATTCAAATTCAAAATCTTTGTGTCCAGAGGCAGGCCCAGAATACAGTACGGCTGATAAAGGCCGACTTTGAGAGGCTGCAGCAGTTCCTGCGGGACGAGGAGACCTCCATACTGAGCGCTCTGAAAGAGGAAGAGGAACAGAAGAGTCGGAAAATGAAGGAAAAGATGGACAGATTAGCAGATGAAATTATGTCTCTAACAGAAATAATTAACTCAACAGAAGAGGCCATGGGCTCTGACGATATTGCATTCCTAAAGGTGAGAATTGAATCTGAGGGGAACCGAGTTTCTCCATTTTCAGAATCCATATAAAACCCTGCTTGCTTTTATACTCACATTTTAAGCAGACTTGAGCTTCAGAATGTTAATGGTGAGATAACCGGGTCGTGACGAATGCATATCAGTTTAAAACAAGGCCAGAGAATCCTTAGAGATATTTGTTGTCTTGCAGAACTATAAGAAGACATCTGAACGGTAAGTAAGGCCGACTCAGTATTTGCTGTGGCATTTCTATATTATCTGTTTGCTTTTATGAGCTGATACAGTGATGCAGGAAAAGTGTTTGGGAGGAAAAGCTGACATTACATCAAAGATTGCTGTAACTGAGGGTTTTTCTCTGGGCTATAGAGTGGAGTGCACACTGCAGGATCCAGACGAGACATCTGGAGCTCTGATTGATGTGGCCAAACACCTGGGCTGCCTCAAGTTCAGAGTCTGGGAAAAAATGCAAAATGTTGTAACATACAGTAAGTAGATGTCATAATATGCACACTGGAAGAATATCTCATAAAATATCATTTAGTCAGCAACAAAATGTTAAAGTATACTACAATTACCTTCTGTAGTTGATGTCATGCTCATATTAGGAACTAATATTTTAACTTGCCACAGGAATCTCTGAATTACAAGGTTGGTTAATAGTTGAAGTACAAATAATGCTACATCCTTGCCACAAACAAGCTAACACTCTTCATTTATGGGTGCTTTAAGTTGCCAGTTTATTAGATACATCTACTTTTATCTAGACCTACTGGCCAGTTTATCACACCTACCATACAGAGCACGTTGCAAGTATAGAAATATGGATTGTAGATCATCTGTTGCTGTGCACCCTATCAATGGATTTTAATCATATAAGTGTCACTGCTGGGTCGAGAAAAGTCTGCCAAAAATGTCCTGCCAAGAGTGGCTCTGTGGTCAGAAACCAAAGGCTAGAGAATGATTAACACAAACTGTGCATCAACAGATGGACTGCAGTCTATAATTCCTCACCAGCAAGGTGGAGCTACAAGGTAATAAAGTGGTCAGTATGTGTGGAAAAACTCCAGCAATGCTGCAGGGCCTGATACACTCATACCAGTCCCCAAATGTCTTGTGTACAACCTACAAAGTGCGCTTACATGGTTTCTTACAAACCCTAATACAAATATTTCCTTACAGTACTGTGCAAATGTCAGAGATCATCTTTCATTTATTTCCAGTCATTACGCACAAGTTATTAATTAACTGAGTAACATAATTTCACTCAAAAGGATCAACAACTATTTTAATATAACAATATAATAATATTTTTTTTCAGTATTTAGTGTGTCCACTCTTTGCCTTTATCAAAGCTTCCATTGTTCTGAAGAGATCTGCTTTCAGTTTTTTTAAAGAAGTCTCCAAAGATATTTTTACACATCTCAAAAGGTCAGTCAGAGAATCCGATTGCATTTTTTGCTTCTCATGATCCAAGTAATCCCAAACACATTTAAAGATGCTGAGGTCTGGACTCTGGGGTGGTCCGTCCATTGTTTCAAGAACACCAGCAGCTTCTTTGATTTACAGATGTTCTTCTTTTTTGTCTGTTTCCTTTTATCAGTAATGGCTCCTTGACAGCTACCCATCCTTTCAGACCCATAGCGTTGTCTTCTTGAAAGTGAAAGATGGACAGAAACACCTGTGGATTTTTTCAGATCTAAAGCAAGAATGGAGCTTGATTTTCTCCTCTCTCTCAAAGATTAAAGCTTTAAGTATTTTTAAGCACTGGTCGTTAAGAGACCCATTTTCTCTATATCTTAAAATTAAAACTTCAGTTTAAAAATTTTTTTTTCACTTATTTTCCTTTTTTTTTACTTTCCTCTTCCTTATGCAAATGGATCATTTTATATCTAATCGTCTCAGGAACATCTCTTGAAAAACGAACCTGCACTTAATGGCCGTTTGGACCTGGAATTAAATAAATTATGCATTTTCTCTGACATTTGCACACTGCTGTACATACCTGCGTCTAACTCACAGTTCTTCTCCCATCAGCTCCAGTGATCCTTGACCCCAACACAGCAGACGTGTGCCTCTCGCTGTCTGATGACCTCACCACTATCCGCTTCACGGATGAGGAGCAGCAGCTACCGGATAACCCCGAGCGCTTCTGCTACTACGAATGTGTGCTGGGCTCGGAGGGCCTGGGCTCAGGCCGCCACAGCTGGGATGTGGAGGTGGGGGACAGCAGCGAGTGGGCTCTGGGGGTGGTGAAGGAGAACGTGATAAGAAAGGAGTGGTTCCCCCCTAGCCCAGAGCGAGGCATGTGGACCATTTGCCTGTACGGAGGAGAGTATCGTCCAAAAAACGCCACCAGCACCCCCCTCACTCTCAAGAAGAAGCCACAGAAGGTGCGGGTGCAGCTGGACTGGGACGGGGGAAGGGTAATGTTCTCTGACGCCAGCGACAACACAATGCTTTACAAGTTTAAGGACAAGTTCACTGAGAAGCTGTTTCCATATTTCTCCAACTCATGCAAGAGGCATCCTCTACGCATTCTCGCTGAGAAAGTATCTGTTTACACAGAGTAGCCCAGCACTGAGTGGGCAGTATTAGAAACAAAGGTTCCTTGGCTTGGATTTAGGCTATGATTCTAGGAAAACCATGAAACCTTGATGTTATGTGGAGGTTCTAAGGTTCCTCCCACTTGCACTCATTTGAAAGGTTCGGAGCCCCGCTGGTGACATAGAGTGTAAATAAAAATAATGCGTGCCCACGCAGTATTAACACGTGGGAACGAGATCCTAATGCATGGCATGACTTAGTAGGCATGGGAACAAGATAGTTAAGTCCTGGCCATGACTTAGTAAGGCATGGGAACAAGATCATGCCTTATTAAACTGTGGTCAAGGCTTAATTATCTAAGTCATGGCCACACAATTTGGATCTCGTTCCCACAACTCACTAAGTCATGCCCATGCAATAGGATCCCGTTCCCACGCCTTAGCAAGTCGTGGCCACACATTATTTCTATTTATACGGGATATCACTAGCAGGGCTCCAGAAATGTAGCTCTCCTATGGCATTGAACACGTTTTTTTAAGAATGTAGGGCTGCTAACAGAATGGTGTCAGATGTGGAGACAGTCATAGACTGACAAGACCTGAGTCTATAAACAGGCACTTTAATGTTGTCATTACTTTGAAATCATTGTATTAAATGCATGGTAGAATTTGCTGCAAAGCTTTCATGAAACTAAAGCCAATCTATCATTTCCAGTATTATAACTTGCACACAATAACCATATGCTATAATGTTTTGTTTGGCTTGGTTCAATCCTAGGAATATATGTACAATACAACATATGGACATTTATCAGCTGGACAGATGGACTATTTCCAGCACCCTCTAGGCATTTTCAGAGATGAGCCCAGAAATCCAGACTGAGCACAGACCTAAGCACTAAAAGCACTGATCATGTAGCAGAATGATGTCAGATGCATATGTGCTGTGGATACATTTGTGGACTGATAAAGCCCAAGTCTATGGGAAGGGAGGGGAAGTAACTTTAATTTTAACATTACTCCCTTAACCCCTTAAAAGGTCAGGGCTCAAAGGGCCCAAAGTTTTATTACACACTTCTATAAGTTAAGAATAGCTCAATCAGTTTGCATTGAAGTCCTTGTAGTTACTGAATAATAAGCCTTAGTATGTAATAAGCCTGGGATTTTAAGGGGTTAAACTGATGGCTTGTTATTAATCCTAAAACTTGTATTTAGTGACTACTATAAATTATAGAACATTTACTATGAAAATAAATGTTTTATGTGCTTAGGAGAAAGTAAAATTAAGGCATGGGCCCATACATCGGCAGTTTAAGGGTTTTTGATAATAATAATAATGACTTTATTTATAATGCACCTTTCATTTTAGTGTAAATCTAAAAGGTACTAAAATAAAAAAAAATAAAAAAAAACTACAACATTTAAAAACATGACATTTAGGAAAAAAGTCTGAATAAAACTAATAAGTAAAGAAATAAATAATGCCAAAACATTTTATGTTTATGTTTTTATGCTAAATTCACATTGGAATATACTGCAAGGTTTCAAGAAACCAAAACCAAACATGTCATTTATGCTTAGATTATAACTAACATGCAATAACTACTTGTTATATAATCTTTGGTTTCAGTCATAGGAATATATGTATAATATGGCATGCAATACTAATCAACCACTTTATTAGAACCTGACCTTGTACTTCCATTCACTGGTCACTTTATGAGCTCTGCCTGCTTTATATGTCCAGGATTTAGGTGTATAGTTACAGTAGCTCATTTGTTGTCTTTGACCCCATCACCCCCACTACTGTTGGTGATATTATTTGGATGGTGGTCCATTCTCAGCACAGCAGTGACACTTACATGGTAGTGTGTGTGGTATTGGTGTAAGTGTATCAAGCACAGCAGAGTTGTGTTTTGTTTGGAACTAAACTTTGCAGGAAGGCAGATCTCCAGGAGGAAGGTTGGTGACCACTGGACTAGAGGTTGGCTACACCAACTGTACTCCAGCAAGGTGGGGGCTTCTAATAAAGTGGCCAGTATGTGTATTTGTTACTGATTTAATTGTGCTGTGAATGTTCATAACATGAAGTGAAAGAGCAAAAGAGCAATGGGAAGAAGTTTCATAGCGTTGCTGTCCAAAAAACAAGTAGTTTCATTCATTTTTATTTTTCTACATCATTGGAACTGATGTAGTTGCTTCCTGATGGTGGCTTCCCTTTACATTGTGCGAATGTTTCATGATGATTGGACCAACTGAAATGCTCCAAAATAGTTTGGAATAAAATCTTTCTATATTAACTTACATGAAAAGTAAGTAATGTTTTTTCCCTCTCCTGTAAAGTTACTTGTTTTTCTTTGGACAGTGATGATATGCAGCTGCTGAACAGTTGAATTTGACATGTTGAAGCAGAGCAAACATGTAGTACTGCAGTGCTGCTCAAGCTTTACTAAGCTAATGCTTTTTGCACAGTGACTTGATTTATGCATGAAATGAGTGAATGACTGAATTACATTAGCATGTGTTTAATCATGGAGGCAGGAACTCCCATTCTGAATGAACGTGTAGTGTAATTGATGCATAACATGGTCTAATGATATCATAATACATTATACATAATACATCATATATATTATTAACATATTATTATTGTGATAAATTGTCATGATAGCTTTTCTGAGTGGATCATGGGTCTCATCAGTCCTTCCAGAGCAATGAACAACTGCATGTCTTGTAAAAAAGACTGATTTAGGCCAAATATAGGAAGCCTGAGAACAAGAACCAATATATACTGTTTTAAACATATCTTTACCGTTGCTGCTGTATGTTTATTTAACAAAACTAAATTTGAAAATGCTGTGAAGTATCATGATGTCACACTTTTTTCCACATTGCCCACCCTTAGCATCCTGCCCATCCCTAACAATAAATAACTAGATTATTTTGAGTGTATTTATGAAATGAATGCATAATTTGCACTTTACATGACTGAAAAGTTCTCCAAAAAATGTGGTGATGATTGTGTGTGATGAAAATAAACTGTTTACTAAAGAAACAGCCCGTGTTTTCACTTAGCTGGAGAGAAATGCAGCACTGCAGCAGAGCGCACCATAAGTCTGAGCTGACATATGCACCTGTCTCCTCTCATCAGCTCTGCTCTCCACACGCAAACCGCTACCCTGCTGCCTTCTCTCTCTCCCTGGCCAGGGCCCTTTGGCACGCTGACATGTTTTTAACCTTTCAGAGCAGTCACAACTCAGCAGCGTCCGCACGAGCTAGTGGGTGAGGAAGGGGGAGGGAGAGAATGAGAAACAGTTTCAAAAGCACAGAGCTCATTTCAGAAACACAGCAAAATCTGGTGTAGAAGTAACTCTGTCAGACTCAAACTGATTACATTCAGCTCTGTTGGTATAAACACAACCTTGTGAAGTCTACAGAAGAAAGAAACGAGAGAAGAAATTTAACACTTGGTAAAAAAAAATAATAATAGAAGATAATGGCTTGTGTTTCTTTGACCACAGTAGAGCCTGACTATGTTTACCATGTAAAGTTATGTAATGTCCTCAGGAAAATGGGCATTCCACAGCATCTCACTGTTACAATGAGGAACCTCTACACTGGACGAACAGACTGGTTTAGCATCTGCAAAGGAGTCAGACACGGCCGCCTTCTATCACTGCACGTATTCAAACTGTACGCTGAACATTTACTAAGAGAAGCAGGACTGAAAGAAGATGATCAAGGATTCAAGATCGGAGGAAGAAACATTAATAACCTTCAACATGCTGCAATATGTGGATGACTCGACACTCAATCAAGAAAATCTGATGGTCCCAGTGGGAGTGAAGAAAACAAAGGTGTTAACAACAGCAAAGACTGCTAACTTGATGGTAAAGATGTAGAAGGTGGTGAACAGCTTTTGTCTACTTGGATCAATTGTTAACAATAAAGGATCCAGCAGTCAGGAGACCTGATGCAGACTAGTAGGATGAGGGAGCTTGAAAAGATCCACAAATGTACTGATATCTCTCTTACACACAAAGATCAGAATTATCAATTAAAAAGCAAGACAAGATGCCTTTGAACTCTGGTTTTGTTAAAGATTTTTGATAGTAAAATGAATCTTATTTTGGACATATTATGAAAAGAATCAGTGGAAAAGATGTAGCGAGTGCTTTATTCTATGCTGTTGTATGCTGCGCAAATGAACAAAAGTGCTCTGAACAAATTAAACAAACTTATTAGGAAGGCTGGCTCTGTTGTTGGGATCAAGCTGGACTCTTTGGAGGTTGTGGCAGAACAAAGGACTCTCAACAAGCTGTTAGCCATCCAGGACAACACCTCACACCCCCTGCATGCTACACTGAAAAACTGAGAAACACATTCTGTGACTGTTACAGCTGCACTGTGTTGAAGAGCACTGCGTAAGATCTTTATTACCCACTGCTGTAAGGCTCTACAACGAGTCTCCTTACTGCAGAGACGGTACTGATCTCCTGCTGTCTGAACACCACTGAACACAAAATCATCTTTGGTTAATACACACTCCGCTACTGTAATGACACTCGCACTGCACACTTTAGACTGTAAATTCTGCTGTTACTCCTAGTTACTATCTATCTAATTGATAAAAATAATGACAAAATATCTGGTAACACTTACCACATAACATTGATATAACCATGACATAACCAAAATAAACGTTGTGGCAGATATCATATGCTCTTGTGAGCCATCATGACAGATTTTGTTCAGAAATATAACAGTGTCATGTTACCATTACTGTTAATTGTCACGACAGATGCTATAATGATGGCAAACTAGAGTATGTGACATAAGCTTTAATGACATCAAACATTAACATCTGTCATGACAATTACCGGTAATAGTACCAGTAATGACACTGTTATATCACTCCACAAAATAGGGCATATAACTCTGCTGTAAAATGTTTATGGCACAGATATATCAATGTTATGTAGCAGGGGTCAAGTAAAGTGTTGCCAAACATCCTGACATTGCCCACTCCAAACATTTCTGCTCAGCACATGAGTAGTCTTTGCTTTCTTGGTAATGCAAATAGAGCGTTTTACATGTGAATGGTTTGACCATCATTTTATGAGCACTGCTATGAATGATGAAGTGAAGGAAGATTTGAAAAGACAGAGATAAACAAGTTTCATAGGTTAAAAAAGGAATTGAAAAGAAATTTGTAGTCATATTAAGTCTTCTTTTCCCAAAAAAACTGTTTATTGAGGACATGCGGACCATGCACAGTTAGGAACATAAGACGTATTTACAGACTGAACACAGAAAAAGTAGAAAACAGTAATCTACTGACTGGTTTCCTTTCAGTGGAGCATCACTGACCAGCATGGGCTACTTTTAAAACAGCTCACCAATTTACACCACATTAAAACAGAAGAATGCTTCTGGCTAATCACATCTTTGTATTTTTCACTATAAAAGAGGCCATTTTTTAAAATTAAATCCCTTTGAAAAGTAAAAACGAGAGGTTTACATCGAAAGGCAAAATGATGGCACCTCAAACAAATATGAATCAACAGTTAGGGCCAGAAAGTGGTTTGTTTTTCACAGTAACACGTTTAAGAGCACCAAATATTTCTTAAAAACTTACAAAAATGAGCATATTTAAGGGAATGGAGGAATGGCAATGAATGGCCTGAAGCAAGTTACTGTCTGGTCTATTCCTATATATCTTCCTTAAGGTCTTTTTTTAAACATATTTTAAAACTTTCTGTCAATAGGGAAAGCAAATGCTCAACCACTGGCCTATTGGCTCTTTTTACTTCGCTGACATTTAACGTACAAACCTAACTATAGCAGTTCAATTTTTTAAAGACAATCTACAAGTAGCTTCCTAAAAGTAAAGACACTGACAGAGAGCCCCTCTTGAAAAGTTCAGTCTTAATTTGAATGACAGCAGACAGAAAAAAAGCACTGGTTCAAAGGCAGCACTGAGATGAGATCCATCCAGCGTTATACAGATACTACAATCACCAACTATTCACCTTCATCACATTATCAATGCTACTTGTATGCTAAAGCTGACAGAATGGGTTACTGAGCCTGCGGACTCTGGTTATGTTGCATGCTACACGATGGGACTGGGATTTTGGACGAGAAGAGTTTGAGGCTATCCAAAAAGAGAATATGAGCAGACTTATATGCTTGTCTATACTTCATCTGCTAGTTGAAGCAGTGGGTGCATAGCCCTGTGTGGTGGACTTGGCAGAAGAAGTTGCAGCGTGTATAAAGGTAATGGATAAAATGTTGCTTGCATCATGTTATTGTTTAATGTTAAACTGGAAGCCAAAGGGAGATCGTAACTGTTGCTAATTGCTCGCTTCCCTCAGTGGATGCCACTCATGACAGGGACGTGATGTTGGATCTTCCTCCAGGGGGAGCTACGATCCTCTGTGCAGTGCGCCTGGGGATGTGGTCGTCCATCTGAGTGCCTTCATTAGAGACAAAGACAGTTGAAGCTCTATAATGTTATAGAAAGTTTTTTTTTAATTTAATACTTAAACTTAATACTTTTATGATCCTGAACTTTCCAGCTGAGGTTAAACATAATAAAACTATTTCTTTCTTGAGTTTGTGAACCCAATTATGGGCCACACTGACAGTCAGATCTAGGCCACAGAGCAAGCAGAGCGCGAGAGAGAGAGACTGTGAGAGAGAGAGACTGAGGCCCACAGAGTAAATAAGAAGAGACAAAGAGTAGATGGAGGGGGAGAGGGGAAAAAGGAAAAGAGAGAGAAAAGAAGACATACAATTAAATTGGGGGCACATAGAGTAAGTAAAGAGTACAGAGAGAAAATGAAAGAGAGAGAGAGAGAGAGAGAGATAGAGAGAGGAAGAATTAAACTGGAACCTACAGAGAAAGTAAGAAGAGAGGGGAAAAAAGTAAAGAGAGGGAAAAAAACAGTCAAGGGAAAATTGCATTGAGAATATATAGTAAATAAACAGTAGAGAGAAAGGATGAAAAAAAAGAGAGAAAAGAGAAAGAGTGAAAATGAGAGAGAGAGGGAGAGAGAGAGAGAGGTTTAAACTGGGGCTTAAAGAGAAAATAAGAAGAGACAAACAGTAGAAGGCTAAGAAAAGAAAGAGAGAGACGTAGAGAGATAGAAAAGAAAAAGAGTGAGATAATTGAATTAGGGGGCATATATAGTAAATAAATAGTGGGAAGAGGGAATGAAAAAGGTGAGAGAGAGAAGGGAAAGAGGAAAAAGAGTGAGATTGAGAGACCGAGTGAGAGAGAGAAAGAGAAAGAGAGAGAGAGAGAGAAACGATTAAATTAAGGGGCCTGTAGAGCGAGGAAAGAGTAGTGAGAGAAAATGGAAAATGAAAAAGAGAAAGGGGCAAGAGAAACAGAGGAAAAAGAAAGAAAGCGTGAGAATGAGAGTGACAGGCAGAAATAAGCGGAGAAGGGGGGTTAAGGAGGGAGGAGAAAAGAGTGAGAGAGACAATAAAATTGGGGGGGCATACAGAGTAAAAAAACAATAATGAGAGGGAGAGAGAATAAGAGAGAAAAAAGAAAGAGAGAAATAAAAGACAAGAAATAGTGAGGACGAGCGAGTGAGATGGAAAATTAAATCAGGGGCATACAGAACAAATAAGAGGAGACAAACAAAATGTGAGGGAGGGAGAGAGAGATACAGTAATGAGTAAGAGAGAGAAAAAAAAAAGAGAGAGAGAGAGAGAAAATAAAATGAGTGGCATACAGACTTAATACGAGGAGACAAACCCTGGAGGGCGGAGCCTACCAGACAGGGTGAATCCTGATTGGTGCAGGTTTCTGGCCGGTCCTGCAGCAATCTTCCCTGGACAGGAGGGTCCTCTGGTGGTGGGAGTTGGTGGTACAGACTTTGTCATGCTAATGACATCATGAACAGGCCCGTCATAATTACCTCGAGGGACGCCACGAGCCTCTGCCATCTGCAGCACATTTAAAACCATTACAAACACATTTACATTTACACTGTTACTGACAATATCTATAGTCTCCTTTAACCTCTAGAATACGGAAGTCCACAGAGGCCATGAGGTAGTTATAATTTTCTGGATTGTTATTTTGAGACAACGAGTTAATTATCTTGTGATCTCAAAATAACATCATTGTTATCTTTGGATAACAAGTAACTTATCTTGTTATCTCAAGATGACAACATTGTTATCTTGACATAATGAGTTACTTATCTTGTTATCTCAAGATAACAAAGTTGTTATCTTTAAATAATGAGTTACTTATCTTGTTATCTCAAGATAACAACATTGTTATCTTGAAATAACGAGTTACTTATCTTGTTATCTCAAGATAACAATCTAGAAAATTACAGCAACAGCTCACGGCCTCTCCGGCCTTCCGTACTAGATGTCACTGGTGTAATTTTATTTCTATTTCTCACTCGTAACTCATTGTGGAGAAATTCTGTGTAAAGAGCAGAACTTTAAATCAATACCACATTTCTGTTTGTTTTTATTTTATTACGATCTGAATCCGATCAAAAGTTAGTGCTGTACAGTCTTGATTTGTGGAAAGAAAAACATCCTTTGCATTTCTGCCACATTTTATGTCGCTGCTGACACTGAAAAAAAAAAATCTGAAGTGAAACCTCCTGATACACAATGTAAATTAAATGTAAATGCAATTTATAATATAACTAATTTTATCATTAAATATGTAGTTACATAGTTACTGCTGACTTGTGTGACAAAACAACAGTAATCCCTCTAGACCTCTAAGGGTTAAGGATGATGAAAGTGGCTATAAAAGCTGCTCATGACTTTCTCCAAGCCTTCACTCTCAGAGACAGGGGCCGTATGAGGTCAGTGCCTGATTTTCATTTTGATATTGACAGTCGGTGTCACAACTAACCTTCAGTCCAGCTCAAAGCACCCTCTGCTCTTTTGACTAATAACAGCAAGTCGACACTCATAGCACATTTAAGGGCAGAAACAGCGACTCAGTGAGTCATACCCTGCTGCGGGCTTTGATCCTCTTGTAGACGTAGTCTGGGTAAGCTTTCCTGGGGACAAAGCGACCCGAACCCTCCATCACATCCAGCTTCTCCCCCTCCAGAACGATCCTGCCCTGACTGATGACGACCACGGGGAAGCCCCTGCACTCCATACCTTCAAAGATATTCATCTCCACTGTCTGCAGGTCAAAGAGATGAGGGCAAATGATAAGACAACATGATTTTACAAGACTGTATGTCACTTAAATGCTGGTTTTAATTGGCAGATTTCAATAACCAGCTGCAAAAGTGTCAAAAGTGCACTCTCATGTTCTCTGAAACACTGAAAAAATCATGGGTATTAATAGGGGGTCCCCCTTTGCTGCAGTAACAGCCTCTACTGTGAAGGCTTACACTAGATGCTGGAACATTGCTGTGAGGATTTTGAGGTCAGGTACCGATGTTGGATTAGCACTGGATCACAAACGCTACTCTAACTCATCCCAAAGGTGGATGGAGCTGCGTCACTCCAAAGAATGCAGTTCCACTGCTCCACAGGCCTACACAACGCATTTAAGTGAAATAAATTGACTTAAATAAACTACTTTTTAAATGAAGCACACTTCGCACTATTCTTGATGTAAACCAATATATCACATATAACATGAGAAACTGCAACTCTTAAACTAGTTATTACCAAATTGTGAGATTGGGCCGAGAAGGTTTTGGTCTCCTTGGTGTTCCAAATGACGAGGTCTGCATCAGATCCCACTGCGATTCTTCCTTTGCGAGGGTACAAGTTGAAGATCTTGGCTGCGTTTGTGCTGGTCACTGCCACAAACTCATTCTCATCCATTTTACCTGTGGCCTGGGGGTCAAAAAGAAAGGATCACCATCAAACGTAGGTGGATTAAGTATGACCACAAAGTTATGACTGGAACTAGTTCTAGTACAGAGCAGCGATACGTAATTTTTTTCCAAAAACAGTAACAGAAATGACATTTATTTCCTCTATTTGAAAAACAATGGCTATTTAACCCCCTTAACTGCTGGCTTATTGTTCATGTAATATACTTAAGACTTATTATTCAATGCTATGCTATTAAATGCTATGAAACTGTTATGTTAGTTATGTACTCATGTGAGTCAGGAACTGAAACATAGGCCTACACTTAAGAGTTTAAGGGATTAAACAGAATGCAAGTAAGGTGACATACTACAGCTTTGTCCCAGACGATGCTCATGCGTTCTTCAATGCCGTTGGTCCCCTCAGGAATGAACGTGAAGTTGTCCTTTCCTACAGCTTTCTGAGCCGTGGAGAATGTGCAGTGAGCGCTGGCCGTCACTTGAAGATCCCCACTGAAACACGGGTTGTTAAAATACTTAATAAGCAGTGCCATTCAGTACAAACTTCACTTCCACTGAGAAGTCTATGTTAAAGTTGCCATCAGGGGCTTAAAAGTTAGTTTTAATTCACATTAAGACATGTGTGTTACATGTACATGTGTTATGACTTGCTAATGGTCATCTCATTATCAGCTTTTACAGTAATAACAGAAGCTTGCAATATGCAGATAAGCCTCTATGAAATCATTCACATTTTCATTGTGTGCTGTGAGGATCCTCACTAAATCTCAGACATTCCAGGTGAGTGTTTCTGTAGGAATTTGGATGAATTCAGATTTTCACAAATGTAGGTCCAAAATTTTATTAAACACTTTTATAACTTATAAATAACACATCCACTTTGCACTGTAGTCTATGAAGTTACTGAACAATTAGCCTTAGAATGTAATTAGGCTGAGATTGTAAGGAGTTAATATTTTAGAAGGCATATCACAAATGCAACACACATCAAAACAATTACAATATGACATTTCAAATCAAATAATGAAATAAAACACTTTTTTCCATAAACGGGCCTATGCTACATGATTTTTAGCCTGGTTTTAATCCCTGCTTTGCCCCTTCCGAAAAACATTCACAATATGAAGTGATTTTCCAAGTCTGGAGCTCTACTGGAATCGTTTGACAACATAGATAATCTGTTGATGTGAGAGGGGCAACGAATTAACCTTCCGACTGAGCTCCGGAGTGATCAGAGGCCCTCTGATATTTTCAAATTTGATTTTTATAATTCAAAACGTTCACAAGTCCCATAACGCGAGACAGTCAGCAATGTAACTCAAGCAACAGCCACTGAGAGAGCAAGAAGAGTCGAGAAACAAGATGCATGCATGCCGTGTGTGCAGCGGACCACAGAGACAGAGGAGCTGCTTGTTGAATGGAGGCAAATAAAAGCCATTACCATGTTTATGTGTGGATCCAGACATCAAGGCTTTCTCTTTACAATTACATACAATTTTAAATCAGCTGCCAGTATGTAGTGAAATCTTCTCCACATTCATCCTCAGTTTGTGCTTTTGCTATATATAAAAGCATGAACTGGTCTAGTTTTTACTTTGTTTGTGTCACATGATAACTGAGGAGCTCTGGGATTCTGATTCATATTCATAGTTATAACTTCTTACATGTATTATACCAATTTTCTGCCTTATAATCTAATGTACGCACCCTCACAAAAAAACAAGAAATTCTGTGAAAGACTGCTGTTAAGCTTGTGATGCTCTTTGTTTTAGAAATCTTCTAGGATTTTAAACATTGTGTTGCATGCACCCACCTAACTCTGTTACCAGATTAACTAGTAAACTGCTGGCTCTCTGAGAGTGAAATATTATCACTGTGTTGAGCTGCTAGCAAGCAATGAGGAGTGAAAGGAGAGGAGTGAGAACTCTTGGCTGTGAAAACTACTCACATCAAAACATTGTGTAAAATTGCTACAATAAAAACAGCACTTAAACACAATTTAAAAAAAGACTCTTCTAAATGTTGACCTGCTGGCTCATCTATAAAGACAAAAATCTAATTTGTGTTTGGTTTTGTAAATCATTCATATTTCCATTGAAATACAGCGGGGTCCAAAAGTCTAAGACCACTAGTAAGAATTCTTCTGTTTTGCATTCTTTTATAATAGAAATATTTTCATTACAAACTTTATTATCAGCATAACAATTTGAATGAAAATTAGAATCTTTAAAATTTTGCAATTTTTACATGAATTTAGAATGAATTTCAGAATTTACATGAATTTCAGAATGTTCTTCTTTTGCATTAGTCACAGCATGCACTTGAGCTAGCACTCCACAAAATTGTACAAAAGCCTCTGATAAGTAGATCAAATCCACCTGAAAGTCATCTGAACACGTGCTTCAATGGTAGAGATAAGACTAAAAAAAAATGACCTTTTTGTACAAAGGCCTCAACATGGTCAGTGTCACAAATCTGCCTAAATTTTAGTAGTGATTTAGAAGTAGTGCAGAATCTTGAACGTTTTTTTATTTTACTTTATTTTAACTTTTTTGTTTTAAATTTTTTCTTTTTTTTGTTCTGTTGTTTATTTCCAAGTTTAAATGAAAAAAATCCCTGATTTTCTATGTGGTCTCAGACTTCTGGACCTCACTATATGCTCCATCAGTGCTACTGAAGAACAAATGTACAGGGACTTCCTCCAAAAACAGGTGGAAATTATATTTCATGTCTATGGTAAAAACAGGTTAATTAATACGAACTGCAAAAACTGAGCTATATATACATATAAATATATACAGGATGTGTAAATTTTCACTCTGAGTGTTTTTATACCATCTTGTTCTCTACGACTGGTACTACAAAGTGACTCTCACCAGGACAGCATGGAGTTGAGGTAGTCTGGGGTCGCTGGATCTGGACTGAGTGGTGGAGACATGACGAAAGCAGCAGCTTTGGCCCAGTTTTTGCTCCAATAGTGTGATCCATCAGTGCCAAGACTGGCTGCGATTGGCTCGCCATAAACAACCATGCCTAGCAATCAAAACCAAGCAAATTATTGTCTGTTCCTTTGCTGCTCTGCATGCTTCCTACACCATTTATCTAATGTACATTCTGTATCACTGAAAGGATTCACACCCTTTTTCCTGGCCTTGGCAATGACATCAGCAGCAGGTTTACTCATCACCTTGGTGACATAGAGGGGGCAGTTGGCCTGCTTAGCGATGGTGATGGCCCGATACACTGCCTCTGTTTCCACCTAGCCAACACAAACACTCTCTATGAGCTAAACTGGTATTAGACTAGCATGAGTGCCTATAATTTAACCAGCTCTTAATTCTTTCTACCTCCTCTGAATGGCTTAGCACATGTCCCTCAGGGCCTGTGATCCCCAGGTCCAACAGCTTCTTCTGCTCCTGGGACCACAAAAAGAGACCAACAAGACCTCTCAGAAAGAACAGGTTGTAATGAAAAATGAGACTATTTAAAAGGTATACAGGAAGCAGTGCTATTTTATGTATGATCGAGTTTTTACCTCATCAATAATGTCACCGTTCTCAGCATGAACTTGAGCAATAGCTCCCAGATCTCTCAGAATGCTAAAAATCTCATACATCTGCAGACAGACAAAGAATCAGCCTTAAAATGTTACATCATTCACTTAACCATTTAATCACAAGCAAAAAAGGGCTAAATTTAATCTACTGTCCTCCATCAGTTAACTGATTTATCAATGCTGTTGCACATTTACTTTGACAAAAAAAATCTAACAAAGCAAAACATTTTGTAGATGTTTGTTTGTGTCACAAACTACAATAGTGAACAAAAAAATACATGGCTATATTCTTACACTTAAGTCATGTTTTTTTGTTACTGTGATAAAAGAAATCAATAATAAATCCTTAGCAATCTGAGTTGTGTTCTGAATATATTCATGTTCACTCAATGTGCAACAATAAAAGCAGCAGCTTCTTTTACGCAAAGACAGAAAACATGGAATCACACAGAAAACTCCAATTCCACATGCTGATCCATTTTACTATGATCAATGTAGACATGCACGTGGTCCCAACTATTCTGGGAGCATATTTTAATGAGTTAAAGGGAACAAACACAAATACTGCCACATGGGGTTTCTAACTAGTTTAAGCTGACAGCGATCAATAGTCTTAGACAGTGAGACACTCTCTACTGACAGACAGAAACTTCCACACTTACTTGTGAATCTGAGCTTTGATACTTGTCCTTGTAAGTCATGTAAACCAGGAATGAGTTCACACCTAAAACACAGGAAGAGATTGAAAATCATTTCACACAAACAGGGGGTCGATTTTGATTGTAAAAATGTGAACTATGACCAACAAACTATGATTAACTAAGAAAAAGTGTATTTAGATTACTTGTATTTTCTCACTGTTTATACTCTTGTCCAGTGGAACTAATCCATGAAACAATGCACATAACATTTCCAACAGACTGACCATAACTCTGAGTACAACAAAGCTGTCCTTCTCCAAAAGGCTGGATATATAGTAAACAAACATGAAAAACCTGCTGTTTTTATCCTTATAATGTAAGCAATAATGTTAGAATCAAGCAAGTCAGTATTTATGTTCATAATTATGTGCCAGATGACTATAACTAATGCAGAAAAACAGACTTTTTATTGTAAGTAAATAGGTTCCAGCAGAACATGCTTTTAGTCATCTTCTTGTACTCCCATAAAAACATCATCCGTCACAGAATTCACTGCATTATTTTAATCACCCTCTTGACGACTGTAACATAACATGGTTTTGAAGCATATAAACAGCTCACAGTGAGAGCTAGCCAGGCTGCAGTTCAGCCTTCACATGGCAGAGTTAGTTTTAATGCAGTGTTGCAACTAAACAGTGTACAGTAAACAATGTGCGAGGTCCATATTCTAAATTCTATGTGATGGAAATAAAAAAAAATGTACATTTTACTGTGATCATTTTGCTGTTCTACTGTCAGGCCTCCCACTGGCTTAGCAGAGACTAACACTCCTCACTGACTAACACTCCTCACTTTGTTCAGAACTTCAACTCTCAGAATCCTATAGGGGATCACATGACCACAGACTCTCCATCCACCTATCTACACTTCCGTTCACCTAATTATTGATTGTTGACACCTGTTCTAGTGCCTATATAACCTGTTTGTGTCCGTAGCCTCACTTTGAAGTACTGTTTCAGTCTACTGTGCATCACTGGGCCTTTATTTCTGTGTTTGACTTCCCGGTTTTGTTTTCTTGCTTCTTTTCTCGTTCTTGATTCTAGCCTGACCCCTTTTTGACTCTTTTGTGTAGTGACCTCTAGCTTGTGTTCTCTCATTCTGATTTAGCTGAGCCTGCAGTGCCCCATTTGCCCGTGTATGGATTCCTGTCTGTTTTTGTACTACGATTCCAGATTAGCTCATATTAAGTATTTTAACCACAGTCTGCTCTGTGAGCGTCTGACTCTTTCAAAGCCGTCACATCTACTTTGATGTCAAAAATAAATGCGCCATTGCTGAACACAGCCTCTTTTACTAATCATATTTATTATGATATAAATATATTTATATATTCTTTGTGTCATTTGGTTCAAAAAATATAATTGTATTAAATTGATTTTTTATTTTTGTATGAAATTATCTGATTTTTTAACCACTGTTACAGTTAACTCCTTCCTCTGTTGCCCTGACTTTGGGGTGAGTTGTAACATTTGCTCTCACGCCACTTTCTTGTGAATTGCTCACAAATCTTGGGGGCTCAAAACAGAGTTGTCATTTGTATCTGAGATATACTTTCCTGTTTTGACCAGGACTGTTATGTTGAATAAATCTGTTGTTACCGTGATCTTTGACCAGCGTCTCCAGCTCCTCAAACATGCCTTCATGCCAGCGGGTGATGTCTATGTGCAGAGAGTAGTCACAACATGACCTCTTATCGGCCGTATCCCTCCACTGGTCAAAAGCAGCCAGCAAGCTTGCTCCCGGCTCGGGCACAACATGGTCAACTGCGGGGAGAAAGGCAGAAAAATATCTTGATGGGTTTGAAACATGAAAATTAAATACTTTATTAGCCTACAACAACATGAGTTTATTTCTTAGGGCAGGAACAGTTCACTGAATAGTGCTTGATTCTAAAGGACCCATATCATGGGACATTTTATTTTTCTTTATTTTTTAATGAAAGAGTTTGATGTTGTATGTAAACACTGCTAAAGCTTCACAAAAGACCATTCACTCTCTCATATATGAGTTCATATATGAAAACTAAGCTGCAAAAACAGCCCATTTTGAATTCACTGTTTTAGTGATGTCAAAAAACCAAATTTATTTACATATATATCAGCCTACAGCATTATAGCCCCACCCACACACACTGAAGTTCTAAGGAGTGTTTGGGCCTGGACTGCTTTTGGAATGAAGTGCAAAATAGAGCAGCCAATCAGAGCAGACATCATTTGCACATGCCAGTCTTACAGGCACAGTAACAAAACCACCCTGTTTAACTGTAAGGGATAAAGAAAGATCATGTAAAAAATCATTTGAATCTGTTTTTGTACATAAAATCACACACACATTATAAGCGGACCTCAGTAGGAAAACATAAAATAGCAGAAAAACCATGGGTTATGAGCCCTTTAATATAGTGGCTTTATTTCCTTATCGATTAGTTTTACAAATTCCAGTGAATTAATTCCAGTGGATGAAATTACAGTTTTAGATATTACACAACTAATTGTGCAGGCAAGACTTTGCACAATATGTTGAAAAAGAAAATAAAACACTAGATACTAAATGTTATAATTTTATTTACAGATTGCTTCCAGAAGTGGCATCTTAATGTGTATAACTTTCCAAAATTAGCCAAAACATTGAAATAACATGATACAGAAACTTCATCTGATCTACAATTACATATCCAAACATCTAGTGAATATTTTCTATGTCTCTATGCTTGAAGGAGCACATTTTGGAGTTCCCCTAAATGCACCCTGCACAGGGGGCACTGCAGCTGTTTGTGACAGGAGAAGAGAGCAGGCAGAGTGCAGAGAGGAGAGCAGAGGATTACAGTATGTGACAGCACAGTGACCCTGATTCATATGATTTAATTAGAATGGGCAAGCTCGCACCATGTCTGCCACTGTAACACGCATCCACTGCTCCTGGTAGACTGTTTACCACAAAAGAGTGACCAGTCACATCCTCCTGACTCGGTGAGCATTTCAGCCTCTGCTGCCAGCTGCTTTATGTTCAGATTCCTTCAGACTGTCTCTTCTTTTCATATTCCTTTAGACTCTACTTTTTGACTGCTTTTGCCTCCCTTCACTCTTTACTTCTCTGATCATCTTTGTTCTAGTCTCAGTTAGGGCTGGGCGATAAAACGATAACGATAATTATCGCTATATAACTTTTCCTCGATAGAGCGATACGACATGTTCAATAAATGTTCGATATAATACACCACTCTCACACTCCCACGTTCAGCGAAAGCCCTGGTGGCGTTTTCTACTGCAAGGAAAGCGACACTACTCTGCTGTCGCCAGGAGAGGGCACACTTCCAAGTTTTTCTACATGATTAGAGAGGGAGGGGGCCACGAGTAAGATGAGTCTTTAGCAACGGCTGAAACGCGGAGTTATACATTCCCTGTTTGAGCAGAGCAACAGGCGATCTGTTCTCCTGTGACCGAGTGTGAGTGACGAGATCAGTGGTGTAACTATACTGTCCTACAGCGAACTCACCTCTTTCCGTGCATCCTAACAACTTTAGCAGCGATAAATCACAATCCTCACAACTACAGCGCTGTTACAGCGCTCAGTCATATTTGGTATTAGTGCATTCCCAAGCAACGAAAGTGAAAGAAGAAGTGGGTTCATGTAAATTACAGCCCTGATTTAAACGAAAGTAAACTGAGGAAGCTGTGAGGCATTGGAGAGCGGGAGAGCGCTAACCTAGCTTTCCAGGCTAGCTGTTGTTAGCAGCTGGCTAACTTAAAGCAGCGCTCCGTCACTCGCACAACACGGAGAACTGATGATACTGTGGATCAAACACGACACAAAAGCAACGCTTTCAGTTTAAACGTACCTAAAAGGAGGACTCTGTTTGTCTGGTGTTGATATTTTGCGGTTCACCACTTAAACTACTACGATAGTATAGAGAAATCCAGTCGTTGCTTCTGGTGTTTGAATACTGTGATGTCGTTTGTAGCGGGGTAGCTGAGCGCTCGTCACCAGCTAAAAATAATGTTTTCTTTCTTAAATTATGACTATACAAAATAGCCATGCTTTTCCAGCTGGTAAAAACAGCTCACCAGACACTCTCTCCCACTCTCCTATGACAGATCTGTGAAATGTTCCACTGTTTGGCGAGTGTCATGATTCGACCATAAAGGATAGTTTAAAACAGCAGTTAACCACCCAGCAGCAAAAATCAGCCTTCAAACTTGAAAGAAATAATGATTTGACATTTATCGCGATATGTATTGATTTCGAACGATATGAATTTTGTTTATCGTGATAACATTTTTGGCCATATCGCCCAGCTCTAGTCTCAGTCCTAGGGAACCCCTGTATTGTACAGTCTAGTACTTTTCCTGCCCTTTCAAACATAATTGACCTTTAGCAATCTAGAATTGTGATTGTGGTATATGTTAATTTTACATTACAAAGTTATTGATATGTAAATAGGTAATTACATAGCTATTACATAGTTATTGACGGAAATATATTCAATTTATTCTTTACATTTAATTAATAGTAGGTCCAGTACCACTTTACAAGACTATCCTGTAAAGGGTTTAGGAATGGTTTAAAATTCATTAATAGGTATAACACAATAATAAAAATGGCAACAGTGACTTGTTGCTTGCCAAAGAGCAAGCCCACCTTTATCCATACTGTTAGAGCTGATTACTTAACTTACTCTGTCTTCTCCATCAGTTTCATCAAATATTCATATTTATCAGACAGAACAGCTCATGGTGCCCTGTTTATTTATGGTTTATAACTGTGTGTTCATGATGTTCAAAGTATTTATGACCTAAATAATAACAATTAATAAACTAATTTTAAGCCATTTATAAAGAGGTGCCACAAGTCCAAAATCTGGCTTTTTCCATTTGTTTTGACATCATTAAATGAAATGTGAAAAATGTGGCAAATAATGTAAAGAATGTTTTTTCTTTCCATGAAACAAAAAAATGTAAATACTTAAGCATTCAGCCTTAACAGCGCCGACAAGCCAATAAAAATGCCTGCTCCAAAATCTACACCGCTGATCTGCACCTCACATTCATTTCTAGTCTAAGCCACACCCACTTTCAGTTTGTTTTTAAAAGATGGATTCAAAAAAAAGTATAGGTTAAGAATTGGAAGTCATGGTCTTGGAATTCGTATCGATATTGGAAACATTCTGAATGGCATCCAGTCCTAGCCACGAGTGAGAAATACAAAATAAATGGGGGGCACTGGAGGGCTGAGATAATAGAATCTGATTAGCATCAGTTTGAATAGGAAAAGCACAACAATGTACAATGCAGGCGTCCCTGAGGACAGCGTCTGAGAACGGGTCTAATCCTCTTCCTAGTGCCTCATCCTTTCTCTTCTCCTGCCTTCATCAGCCCTCTAGTATAACAGTCATGCAGCGTTGACCTACTGATCATGGTGGTTCCTCCTGCCAGGGCAGCGCGAGTGCCGTGGTAAAAGTCGTCAGCGGGGCTCATGCCCAGGTGAGGCGCCTGGAGGCTGGTGTTGACGTCAATGCCACCCGGGATCACTATGTGTCCATATGCATCCACAGTCTTCACCCCACTGGGCACGATGAGGTTCTCCCCAATCTGTCTGAGGGACAGATGATTACAGGAGCAGTTCAACCAAAACTGCTAAATCAAGCAAAAGCCTTTGTTTGTAAACCTTTAGTTTATTGTTAACCTTTTTTGGTAACATACATACATACATACATCATCTAAACCGCTTATCCTTCTGGGTCGCGGTGGGGTGCTGGAGCCTATCCCAGCTGTTTTTTTGGTAACATAATCATCTTTAAACTACTAAACACAAAAATACTGTTCATACTGTTGTGATACAAACTGATTTACAAACTTCTATAATTGTGTAAATCTATCAAAGTACTTTATTAACAAAAATATTTTAAAAATGGATGATATTTTGATATTTAATTTGTCACTTCAATGAAAAAATAGATGATGCATGACAGGAAAGTGCTCTAAGGGTTGCTAGTGACCTGTATGTATTTAAGGGCTAAACAATAGCAGTAGGTTAAAACTGATGTCCAAAATAATCATTAATGTGTATTTTTTATTATTGATTTTGTGATGCATTGAAATGTTTTGCCTCTAAGTTTAAGAGCATCAGGCACTTACTTGATGGTCCCATCCTCAATATAAATGTCAGCATAGAAGGACTGGTCATCATTTACGATTTTTCCACCTTTGATGATGAGCTTATCACTCTGTAGAAACATCAAAATATAATTAATGACTACGCCCAAAACGAGTAAGAAATAGCATTATGGTGTTTCTTGTGTTATCCACAATATCTGACTACCTTGTTGATGGCCAGATGTTTTTAAGCACATTTTAGTGAGTTTTAATTTTTACACTCAGGTAACAAGTCATATTTACCACTAGTGCTAAGTATTATTTAACATCCAATTAATTTTGAAAGCAGTTCTGTTAACTGCTTCTTTAATACACCAAATTAATGCTAAATGAACTATGCAAGGTAATTAAATTTCATTTGTGGATTTAATACAACTGTTTTTCTCTTTTCCATTGGAAGGTAGTGTTTACAGTGAAAACAAACAGGCATAATGACAGTAAAATCAATAATCTGAATGACGCCTTTTTATCTCAGAGCAGGGCTTGAATTTGCATAAGGACAGATCCAGGTCTGAAAGAGCACTGATGGAAGGATTACAGTGCAGTGAAAAGAAACAGACAAGATAAAGGCAAACGTTTTAGTTAATGTATGCAAATCCTCATGAATATGTTGAATACGTAGGGCTCTTTAATGAGATAAGGCGGAGACTGACTGACAGACAGGAACATCAGAGAACTCGTACTGAAAGTGAAGTCTGTGCACCTACCCCAGCAGCCCTTGAAAACATTAGTTAAAGCTCATTTAGGTTTTTACATCGATGTACATGGTGACACTGAATTCAGTTTTTAAGGCCTAGTATTATTAGGACATTTAACTGTCCACAGTTACACCGTTAGTTGCCCCAGTATAAATGATGACCCCACTCAAAAGCACCCTTGTGGTAATTCTTCATTAAAGTAGTTACACCTGCTCCTCCATTAAAAAATTAATTTGTCCTACTTTACCTGATTTCCCAGTTTTACTAAACTCACACTGCACCTCTGTCCAATGTTTGGGGATATCTAGCTTTTCAATAGGTTTTCCCAGGTTAATTTAAACTGGTTAATCCCTTAAATGGCCGGGCAGGCTGGGGGGGCAAACTGTTATTACACACTTCTATAACCTAAGAACAGCCCAACCAGTTTGCAATGAAGTCCCTGTTGTTACTGATTATAAGCCTTAGTATGTAATAAGTCTGGGATTTGAAGGGGTTAAACAAGCACTGAGCATGTAAATATTTGTGCCTGTATTTGTGACAGTGCGACCTTCAGAAAAATCCCATAGCCCACTGATTTTACCATCTGTTGTGATGTCAGAACTTATCAGCACTGAAATGTTTCAGATGTTTAAACATCCTTTGGGCCAAAAGATTTTCAGTGTTTGCTTTTAAAAAGAAGTTCCAACATTTCAAAATTTCTGCATGATTAAATTGTTTAGATATAAAAAAAGTCATTCAAAGTCATCTGATGAGAAATGAGCCATTCTAAAGAAACTCACCAACTCTGATTTCCTTTACAGTGATGGTGATAGGAACCAGGGGTTGTGCCATTTTATTTACAATCCAATACCACCAGTGCACCTTCCGGAGATTTTCTATGTAATGTTGATAATGGTAAAATAAGTAATATGTTGATAAGTGCTAAAACAAAAAAATAAATACATTTTCTAAGGAGACTGTTTTACCCTACATAGTCTACATATAGCCTATCTCTTTGCTTGAATTTTTAGGGGTAGGTGCACAAAAACAATGTCTCTGGCATCAGGCAGTGTAACAATTTTGTGCAGTTCTTTTTCTTTTTTATGAGGTAGCTTATAAAGGCATTAAACACTGCAGATCACCACCACTGTGAACAACTCTAACTTAGCATATTTCTCTATACTGATGTATTTCACACCAAACCACTCTGAATGACTTTGTTGACATCTTATGTAGAAATTTTGAAAAACTGGTGAAATTCCCCTTTAAGTCAACCTGAAATCAAAACTGACCCTTCTTACCTCCTTAGTTCATATTCCTGGTCACATTAAGCATGATTTGCCATATCATAGACATAATTCTTGTTTTAATGTTATCTTCTAAAAAGTGTAATGACTTTTGCCTGCCTCTAAAATGTCGTCTGATTTTCGATAACATTGCCGTTCACCAGTGGACAGGGAAAAATATCGTTAACCCCCTAAATGACCAGGGCCCACTGAAAGGCCCAAAGTTTTATTACACACTTCTAAAACCTAAGAATAGCTCAGCCAGTTTGCATTGAAGTCCCCTGTAGTTACTGAATAATAAGCCTTAGTATGTAATAAGCCTGAGATTTTAAGAGGCCAACCAATTGCAGCACATATCACCCCCTCCCACCACCCCCACCTATAACTGAGAGAAAACTCAGACACCTTTCTTAATATTGCAACTCTCTCAGAGACATGTCAGGGTATGTAAAGGAAAATGTGCCACAATTTCTGATTCATGCTGACTTAGTTTGGAAAAGAAAATTGTCAAATGATTATTTAGGCTAAACACGCTCTTCATGTCAACAAATCTGATGGTTGAAAAATACATCCAAAGTATCAGCAAAACTGCTGTTTTATGTTAACAAAACTTCAGCAGATGTTTTTTCCTTATATAATTGAAAAGCAGCAGCAAGAAAACACAAATTTCAAAATTTCGTTTTGTCAAACTTTCGACGGGCAGTGGATTTTGTATCATCTCTGTACTGTATTTGAACCAATTCATATTCACCCACCCCTTCATTCCTCTCTGCTCTCCTCTGCCCTAATGTGCCAGACTGCTGGGCGCATTAGGCCAATCAGCCATGAAGGCGACTCCCTGAACCTTATAAAGTATTTTCCCTGCTGCGCTGCCTGACATGAACTTCAGCTCACGGTATTACATTAAAGAATAATCGTCTCTATTAGCAAGAGCCTGGGCCATGTTTTGCACATTTCATCCTAAAGGTTGTTGCCCAGCTTTCTGCTGAGGGCATAGATGCTTCTAAAAAACAGATCATGCTGGTAATGCAGTGTGACAAGTCCATGGGCAGCCCGGCACCAGGCCCAGCTCCAAACCGCTGCTGATCATGTCATATTCAGGGCCTTGGTCATGCTTCCGGCATGGCAGGGAATGCAAGCCAGAGCAAAGGAGTGACTAATGACAGCCAGCAGTCTGAACAAAACCTGCAGTCTAATAGCAGGACGCCCAAAGACACTTTTTAAGAAGTACATGTCCAATGCACATCTTTTGTCTCAAAAGTGAACCCCACCCTGTCTGACTCTCCATCGCTGAGGGTGCCACAAATGTGGGTCATCCAAGAAGCCGGTAAGCCACACTGTGCTTAATTGCACGGAAGGGAATCAGGTTCTATTAGTCAGACAGTGAACATTTTTTTTTGAGACATTAACGGTGCTAAATTACCAGAAACGGAGTCATTTTACCTCACAAACACGGCTAAACGTGTCATCCCAGATTAGAGATCCAAAACAAAGCGGCTAGACTGAGTCCATCAATCTGAGGATGTGGGAAACAATGGCGTATCGATAACGTCTCCGCCATAGTAGTGTCTTTATGCTATAAATTCGCTTTTCTCTGCACAATTTCTTTCACCAACATGAACCGACAGCTGCTAAGCTACTTATTCACGGTCCCTAAACCGAAGCAGCAGCCTGCACTGGTTGTCAGACGCAGGGGGAGCAGGATGCTGCTAGCGGCTATACTCGCTCGTCACTGCCCCGGTAAAAGCCTCTCGGCTCCGGCTACCAGCTCCGAGTCTCCCCGCGGCGCCCCGCCTGTGGCTCCGTCCACCGTTTCTGTCAGTCTGCTTACCGTTAAACGGGGGATGTTCTTCTTGCCCTGGAAAGACATGGCGCCGGTTTAAGGGGGAAGAGTTTTTAATTCTGGGGTGGCAAAAAAAGGAAAGCCACCGAGAGAGATGGATTTGTGTGTCACGTTGGAGGAAAAGCTGCAGTGAGCATGTGCAGAAGAGGAGAGGTGGCAGTGAAGGGGGTGCGGTGGGGTTTATGCTAACGAGGTGGACAAAAGTGCCCCAAATCCCACCCTCTTTTCTCCTCCAACCCCCTCCCCACTGCTCCTCTCTCCCCGTATAGTCCTCTACCCGCTTACGCCCCACCCCCACCGCTCCTCTGTCCCAGTCGAACACTGCAAAAAGGCAAAATTTAGTCAATTTATCTAATATTTCTAATTGTTAGACTGTTTAGACTTTTAAAAAAGGCTTTTCAGGGGTTCTTTACTAAAGAAAATGTAGCTGTACAGAACCATATGCAACACATTCTCCATCAGTCTGAAGAACCATTTCACCATGCAAAGAACCATTTAAGCATGCAAATAGTTTTTTAAATGTTCATTGTTCTATATAGAACCAAAGGGGGTTCTGTTATGTTGTAGTGTTATGATGTTAAGCTTGTAACAATAGAGGAACCCTTTTCGGTGCTATATAGAACAATTTTCCATAAGGTTCTGTATAGAACCAAATACAACAAATTATCTTTCAATCTGAAGAATGATTTCACCATGCAAGGAACCATTTAAGCATCTAAATGGTTCTTTGAGTGTCCATGGTTCTATATAGAACCATTGACTTTACTAAAGAATCATTAAAGAACCATCTTATTATAAGATTATTTAATATCCAGATTTTTTTTTTACTTGTTTTCAGTGATTTTAGTCAAATGATCTCACTATACTGACAGATGATTTTACCTGATCTGCCAATACAGTGAGATAATCTGACTTCTTAAACTCATTTAAAACAAGTAAAGATGTCTAGAAATGAGTTAAATAATCTAATATTAAGGTTACACCAATCTCAAAATGAGAATTATTAGATATATTGACAAGATTTAAGACAATTTTACTTGCCAAGATATATTTTTTTTTGCAGTGAACCATCTCCCCATTGGCCCCCTCTCCTCCTAACCTCCTCTCAGCCCCATCTCTCCTGTTCTAACCCCCGAGCTACTCTCTCTCTCCTCTTACAACCTCCTCTCACAGCCATATCCCTCCTCTTTTAACCCACTCTACTCTCTCTCCTCTTACAACCTCCTCTCACAGCCACATCTCTCCTCTTTTAACCCCCCACTACTCTCTCTCCTCTTACAACCTCCTCTCACAGCCACATCTCTCTTCTTTTAACCCCCACTACTCTCTCTCCTCTTACAACCTCCTCTCACAGCCACATCTCTCTTCTTTTAACCCCCCACTACTCTCTCTCTCCTCTTACAACCTCCTCTCACAGCCACATCTCTCTTCTTTTAACCCCCCACTACTCTCTCTCCTCTTGCAACCTCCTCTCACAGCCACATCTCCCCTCTTTTAACCCCCCCACTACTCTCTCTCCTCTTACAACCTCCTCTCACAGCTCCCTCATTCCTCTTTTACCCCACTCTACTATCCCCTCTATTTACCCTGTTATCCCTCCCCTTAACCTACTCCAGCTGTTTTACCCTGCTGTCCCCTCTGACTCCTCCCTCCTTCTGCTTCTCTCATCATTTACCTCTTCCTCTCCTACTCCCATCTCCCCTTACCCTCTCTTTCCTCCCTGCCCACTTAAACCTGCTGACTTCTCTCAAAGCCCATCTCCCCTCTGAATCTCCAGTCAACCCCAGTCAATTTTGGACATTTTCACTGAGCACAGCCCACTCATCTTAAAATCTATTAATTTGTTTACATTCTTTTATTTGTGATTCACTTTTTCATGTTCTGTTTGTTCAATCTTTCATTTTCATTTCATCTGTTGGTACTGTTTATCTATTTTACTCCAGTGGACTCTTTCCCACACACACACACACACACACACACAAAGCAAAAACACACCTGTAAAACATGAACCATCATTAAGAGTCTTTTGCTCAGTGATCACTACAAGACATGGAAGCCCATCTCCTATAGAGGAGAAAAGATCATGATAAAATATGTCAATTTTTTCAAAATAATGACTTGGTATCTCAAAATAATGACTTGTTATCTTGAAATAGTTACTTATTTTTTTCATTTTAATAATTCATTATTTGTGAGTTAAATACATCTAAAGGCTATATTTAGAGAATATAAGATATTCTTTCAAGATACAAAATCAATATTTAGAGGACAAAAGTCATTATTTCAAGACGCTAAGTCAAGTTTTTTTTTTTTTAGAAAATTAGTAATTATTTAATTATTTTGGGTCAGGGGTGTCCAGCCTTATCCACAGAGGGCCGGTGTGGCTGCAGGTTTTTATTTCAACAAAGCAGGTGGTCACCTGATGAAATGTTTGAAGACTAAGATCAACTGATTAAACAAGGGGAATCAGGTGTGCTTCAGCTTGTTAGGAGTGAAAACCTGTCCTTTGCAGATAAGACTGGACACCCCTGCTCTAAGTTGAGAAAATAAGCCATTACTTTGATATACTAAGCCAATATTTTGAGAAAATAATCCTTATTTTGAGTTACTAAGCCAATACTTTGAATGCTGCCAGAAACAGAGGATCTTATCACACATTCCTTGTGAGGACTTCTAAAGGTTTCTGTTGTTTTTTGTTTTTCGCCTATCTGTAGCCAAGTAATACATCACCTACACCTAAGCCTTACAACACGTGCTCAAGTGAGGACCCCTCATAATGTCCTCACTTAACCAAAAATGTCATGTAGTCCTCACAAGGATAGCAAGACATGTACACAACAGTGATCCAGGCGTCCAGGCCATGGAAAGGTCCAGTTGACTATTGGATTTTACTTACTGCCTAGAGATTTTAGACTTATTACTTACAAGAATCTTTTTTAATCTTTCCAATTTGTTACTTTCTACTAATATACTTTTTATAAAGGCGATTTGAATACTTGATTTTCAAATATTTTATTTTAAAAAAGCCTACCTCACGTCTCTCGCGCATCGTGCGCTTGTAACCCGCGGGCTGGTTCACAGTCTGGCTCCGTGTAACCGTGGGCTGCGGTGGCGCGCGGCTCACGCTGGACACGCCGGACACGCTGGACACATCACTGACACTGGCCGAGTCCTCGGAGTCCTGCAGCCTCCGGGCGCTCCTCCTCACCGAGTCCGGGCTGAATGACTCGAAATTCAGAGTCTTGTTCTCAAACGCGCCCTCGATGTTGCAGAACATTCCCCCGAACTTCACCCGCGGTTTGGGGCTGTCTGTGCCCAGTTTGGAGAGCAGAGAGCACTGGTCATCTTCCCGTGGAAGTAGCCTCTTCTCAGCCATGGCTTTCAAATCAGGTTGGATGTGAAGTTAGAAGAAGATGAGAGTCACAGAGAGAGAGAGAGAGAGAGAGAGAGAGAGAGAGGGCGACGAGGCAGAGTGCAGCGGGAGCTGTCCACTGGGGCGTGGTGCTGAAATCACAACCACTGAATCCCTGGAGGAAAAAAACGGTGAAAAACCGCTTCGTCACGAAATATTCAGTCTCCACTGTTCACACTATGTATTTATGTCCCATTCAAAAGAGCCAGCAAAACCCAGGAATCCTCCTTTGTTTTTAAGCTCATCAGAAAAAGTCACAGTCCTACAAGCGCGGGCTCACACTGTAATAACCGCCTGATGAAACGAGGCGAGCGCCCTCGACCCCAGGCGCGTTCACCGAGCTGAAATCCAGGTCAGAAAGTGAAGTGCATCGCTGAGGAGATGATGTTTTGCCCCGAGCGCCACCAGGCTCGCGCAGCTGAGATGATTCAGATCAGTTTCAGCCCAGAGCAAGTGGTGTGTATAGGATGGTGAAGCAAGAAGACCAGGAGCCAAAAGTAACCAAGACAACAGTTAATTGTGTTGTTACAGGTGCAATTAGTGAGGTATTTCCATTGGCTTTTGCATGAGTGTTTCTGAATGCTGCAGTGGTCCACCTACACCTGACCCCAACCTTATCCTGGATGACTAAACATAAACATTTAGTTCTTTTCTTTACAAATAAAAGCTGAACATTTGTAATCAATTTGAGTTTGTACTAATGGGAACCAGACAAACGTCCCCACAATGTCAGTGTACATGCTTTTGTCATCCTGGAGACATTTAGTCCACACAAAGAGCTCAACCAACACACACACAACACAGATGGGTTTGTTTGATCAGAAATGAAACATATTCCAGGTTTCTAACAGTATGTTCCATATTACCAAATTCAAATTCTCGCTCACATCTGCAGAGTTTTGGATTTATCAGGATTAATAACAGGCTAAAAGGTAAAAGTTTCAAGGCCATTATTTATAAAAAAGGTTGTTTAATTGTGCGCATACAGCTCATCAATTACCGAATAGCATGGGACACTCTGGAGCCACACATCAGCATAAAATTACCATGTCAAGCATCAGCTAAAGCCCCCCAGCACTGGGCTGTGGAACAGTCGAACTGCATTCTCTGGAGCGCTGGAGCTCCAACCTCTTCCTTTTGGGATGAGTTGAAGAGGATCCAGAACTAATCACCAAACATCAGTACCTCACCTCACTAATGTTCTTGTGGGTGAAGACAATCAAATCTCCACAGCAATGTTCCAACATCTAGTGTAAAGCCTTCCCAGAAGAGTGGATCCTGTTACACCAGCAATGGCGGAACAAACTCCCTATTAATACCCTTCATTTCAGAAGAAACATTGGATGAGCAGATGTCTACAAACTTTAGGATATATAATGCATCTTAGTGAGATATACATGTGTTTAAACAGTAGCTTAGTAGATCAGATGGTCTATCACCAATATTGACTATTCCTATGGACACCAAGAGGCCATCATGAGGTACTGAGAAGAAAAGATGGGTGTGATTGATAACAGAAGAAACCATGAGGAGGACTCCTGCTAGTCAGATCACTACAGAGCTTGTACATGTAAAATCCTCTAACTGTATTGAAATATGCAAAACTCAAACTTGGCATATCTTAAGCACTTAAAACTTTTTAATTAAGCAGTATGTTTTTACCTGTAAAAACACTGTTGGTTAGTTTCATGGACATAGAGTAACC